AAAAAAAAAAAAAAAAAAAGAAGGTGTGCCGAGTAGACCACGAAAATGTTTCTAGGTGGAATTGATAAGTCTGCTTTGAAGCTGTAAGCCAGCAGCCCATTTTAAGGTCAGGTAGTGTGTGTGAGATCATAGCCCATTAGGGTAATGGCTGGCCATGAAAAGCTATAAAAAATGCAGTTTGGCATGTATTGCCTGGCACTAGGAAGACTGAAAGCTATCAATCATAATTAAAGGGGCAAAGCCAGCGGGGGAAAAAAAGAGAGCTTAAATCTATAGGAAAAAATGAAAAGTCAGGCAGATGACAACTTTTCTGTTCATTGTAATGCAGTTGTGAAGAAGAAAAATGATCATAAATATTTTCTTCCTGAACAGATACGAAAAATAAGACTACAGTCCCTATTAAGGAAGATGTTAATGTTCACTCAGATGGTAAGTTGGGGAGTGGGGGGGGGTTGTCTTTAGGAGCTGCATTTCCTATGAGAAGAGAAGACATGAGAACAACCTCATTTAGGAGGATGAAGGATGATTTAGATATGTTCACCACCTTGAGTTATAAAAATAATAAATGCAGGATAAAAGTAAATCCCGAGTCAGCCATTTTCTAAGATTCTGAATGTGCTTACTGTTGAATGGCATTGTGCCTTGGAAATATTGTGCATTCATTTTATTATTTATATTCAGAAAAAGTCAGATCATATGAAAAAGTTGTGTGAAGTTGCATGCCTTTTGTGATCATATATTTTAATTATTTTGTTGGCTTTAAGGTCTTTTCTCTGATAGAAACCTCTTTTCAGTGCATTTTTAAGTGCTATATGGAAACTACTAGAAGCTGAAAAATAACAAAATATCTTGACATTCTTGCTTTCTCAATTAATTGGATAGAAGGAAATTTGAATTTTGAATCCCCCCAAATTATCCAGGAGATTGTATAAACACAGCTTCTGTGGCTCCTGTGCTCTAATCTTCTGTGGAATGGGTAGTAGGTGCAGTCTATGGGAAACTTCAGTGGGGAAAGTTTGCTCCTAATCATACTATCTTACTATCTATCTGAGAACTTCGTAACTGTCTTTTTTTTAGCTCCTTTGATGAAAACATTATTTTATTCTAGATGAGGATATCTTTAAACCTCCCAAGCTGACAGATGAAGATTTCTCACCATTTGGTTCTAAAGCTGGACTCTTCAGTGGTGGGACAGGACTCTTCGATGATGAGGTTAATATGTGGTTTTTATATTCCTTTAGGGAACTAGCTAGGGACATGCGGCTATATGCATACAAGGCAGAAAGCTACTTTGAACCTAGGTGCACTATCTCCATGAAGAGGCAAATGCATCTATGCCCCCCAAAAGATTATAGGATAAATTACTGTGGTAGGATGAAAACACAATCACTGCAGCCTAATTTGTCTTCTTTGATGCCTACTTGATTCAGGCACATATTTTCCCGGAATCGTATAGCTAACATGTAAGCCTGGAAAGGGACATGGCTTCTTTCAAGAGGGGTTGAGAGGACCACATTTATACCCTCTAAGGCCCATTTTTCCTACTTCATATCTAAATAGTTGTACGTCCCGAGAACTAGGCAAAAAGGCTTGATGGCACCTCTGCCATCTGTACTTTATTTGATTGTATTATAGTCTTTTTTTTAAAGATTTGGTTTCCATAGGTTGGATCTTCTATCCCTCAGAACATTACAATCCCGTTCTGAACAAAGTTAAGCAGGAAAGAATTAACATGTTTCTCACTGGGTTATAACCTTGGTCATAAATCAGGTATAATTGAAGGAGTATGAATTAGGTAGAGGATGGTATGCAGAAAGAATGTTTTGTCTAGACAGTTTTACCAAATCTGATTGTTCAGCTAAAGAGAGCAGGCCTGTTATTCCTGAAGTCCCAGGGCTTAGGGCTAATGAGGTCCACAAGATCTAGGCAAGTCAGTTTGGTGTAGTGCCAAATGTGCTGGCCTAAAAGGCAGGAGACCATGAATTGTGAGCTTCCTTTAGGCATAAAAGCTAAGTAGATGACCAATCCCTCTCTCTCAGCCCAACCCACCTTACAAGGCTGTTATTGTGGGAAAAATAAGAGGCAGGAGTATTAGAAATGTTTTCCATCTTGAGTTGACCAAATAAGTTTTTTTTTAAAAAAAGGCAGGAGAAAAATATCATCTAATCTGTGTACTGTAAGCAAAATCTATTTGCAGAGCAAGGCAGCAAGAAGAATCAGTCAAGTCAAGAAGTACGAAAATTATTTCCAGTAAAGTGGAAGGGAAATCTGAGAGATTCTCTTACAGTATATGTGTTCTTATAGCACTTGCCTTCTGAATATTAACCCACCTGAGAGATGTCTGGTCCACATTCTGACTATATTTAAAAGAGAACCAAATACCTGACTCATTCTTCAGACCTTGGATTACAGTCATTGGCATTGACTATCTGTTCCAAGGCAGATAGAACAGGTACACAAGTCAAAATAGGCAAGGAAATAGTAAGAGAATTCTCCCTGGACAAGTGGAAATCACCTGGGCCAAATGATTTCCATCCTAGAATTCTGAAGGAGTGACAGATGTAATCTCAGAGCCACTGAATGTAATCTTTCAAAGATCCTGTATCACAGGGGAACTAGCAGAGGACTGGAAAAGACCCGATGTGGTACCAATCTACAAAAAGGAGGAAAAAATGGATCCAGGATATTGTAGACCCATCAGCTTGACATCAATACCTGTGAAAAAAATGTTTACTAGAAGTTAGCATGGGTTTGTTAAAAACAGGTCATGCCAGACAAACCTTATATCCTTCTTTGATAAAGTTACAAAATTAGTGGACTAGCGAAGTGCATAGAAAGAGCTTTTCTACTGCTCAGAAACATTGTGTTTGCCAGCTTTGTAGCTAGAAAGCTAGCAAGCATGATTGTTTTTGAACATCAAAAACGCTGAAAAGTTCAGATTTTCAAGGTGAGGACTAGTCATCAGTTGCTTTTTTCAGAGCCATTGTAACTTCAAATAGTTGCTAAATGAAAGATCACAAGTCAAGAAGTAACTATAATGATAAGCCACATTGTGGTATTATTTGTGTGCAAACTAGGCTATTATGACTTGTTTAACAACCATGACTTTTTTTAAAAAAACGTGGCTTTGTGAACACAATTTTTGTCTAGATTATACATATATTTATATTTTATAGTGTCTTAGATTCCAGAGGGATCTCACACCAAAGTTTGATGAAATTGAAAGTTAACTGCTTCTTTCACATTATAAACTACATTTCATTATGAGCTCTAAATTCCTGTTATACATGCATGCCCTAATAAGTAATCAGAAACTGAAAATTTGTTATATGTGAAATTATGTATAAAATAATTTTGAGTGGTTTTTGCAGTACTTGATGACCTATTATTCTGTTTTCTGAATATAAAACACATTATGTTACGAGGTATATTATTCTATTTTCAACCAGAAGGATCTTTTTGCTGAATTGCCAAAAGAGGAAGATTCAAAGGAAAAAGAAACACGAATACCAATAAATGATGGTAAGAATTTTTTTATAAAACTTGAAGATTTAAAAGATTAACACAAGAAAATTCTGCAGTTCATTTGGGAAAGATGGTCTTTTTTAAAAGTTCCTTTGAAAGTACATTGATACAAACATGATCTGATCCTAGATGAGAATATATTTAAGCCCCCCTCCAGTTTAGTAAAAAGTACTGTAGAATGCAGCTTTACTTTTCAAGTGTAACTATAAAATGTGGTTAACCCCCCCCCAAAGAGCCTTTCATTGATTCTCATTTATTCTCATGGGTTAGATGTAAATCTTTACCTTCAACACACTTCATTGGCACCTGTTGCATTGGTAACAGAGCTTCCATGTCTCCATGAGGGTCATCTTCCTTAGGCTCTACACCAGTGTTTCTCAACCTTGACAATTTTAAGGCATGTGGACTTCAACTCCCAGAATTCCACAGCCAGCATTGCTGGCTGTGGAATTCTGGGCGTTGAAGTCCACATGCCTTAAAATTGTCAAGGTTGAGAAACACTGCTCTACACAGTGAGACTTCACTGTTTCCTCAGCCCTTATATTCCATCTACCCACGATGACAGGAATCATATTAGACAGCACCATATCCACTTCATCAAAGTCCTCGGTAAAAGGACTCCCAGCAGACACGGTTGTAAGACACATCATCTTACAATTGTAATATTATAAAGTGTCACATCTGTAACAATGTAAGAGGTCATCTCTGTGCCCATGAACAGTCAGAAATAAGGCAAATACATACCTAAAGGCATAGTTATAGAAAAAGAGGTTGACTTTAGGAAAGTTTCAATTTGATCCATTTTCTATGCTTTTTAGAACCTTCATTAAAAGCAGTAAAGAAAGTTCCTCCTGGAGCAGTTTCTCTCTTTCCAGGTATGGATAATAAAAAAAATGACCAATGATCTGCATTTTTTTAATCTTTAAGTTTATTTAATTGACCTTAAACTACACTAATTCGTAAATATGTCTGTAGAATGGAATCTTCCAATCATTTAGCTTCATTACAGAAGCAAGCTATCCTTGATGCTTTAGTTGATCTAAACAAGTGGTGCTTGCATTTTCTGTATATACAGTTGATTCAGCTTTACACATCATACTAAAAATAAAGTTTTCTTATTTTTAGTTTTTATGTATGAACCAAGCCAGTTGTGTTTTCAGTAAACTGTGTTTAAACAAATGGTGGCTTAAGTAGATTGATGATTTTTATCAGTGACCTCTACTGAACAGCTATTAGCAATAGCACTTAGACTTATACACCACATCATAATGCTTTATAGCACTCTCTGAGTGGTTTACAACATCAGCATATTCCCCCCCCTCAACAGCAATCTGAGTCTTCATTTTACCGACCTCAGAAGGATGGAAGGCTGAGTCAACCTTGAGCCAGTCAGGATCAAATTCCTGGCAGAGGGCAGAATTGGCCTGCAATACTGCATTCTAACCATTGTATCTATATCTATCTATCATATTTGGGAATCACTCATTTCCCTCACAGACGGATCTGGGACAGTGGGATTCTGCAACCAGTCATAAGTGCGAGCTGGTTGCCAAGTTCCCAAATTTTGTTCATGTGACTGTGGGAGCACTGCAATGACCAGAAGTTTGAGGACTAATCATAAATCCATTCAATGCCATTGAAATTTCAAACATCACTGAACATTCATAATTCAAGTATTACCTTGAATTACCTTGAATCTGAACCTTTTTCTTCTTCTCGGCAGCTGTCCTTTTCTCTCTATTTATATTATATGGCATTTTTGTCTTGCTCTCATTTGGCGCAATCATTATTGTAACTCTTTTGTGTCATTTTGTAGTATAAATCTCATGGCTCTCCTCCAAATAGTTTCTACGTCAACTTTCCTACTGTGCATTTTCTATTCTTTCTGTTTGAAAATTAATCTATATTCTAATACTTTTTATATAGTCTATTTACTTTTTTCATATTCTGCAGTTTTGCTCCCAATAGTCATTCATATTAATTAACAGAATAAATTTTCAGTGATGTCAGAGTACAAAACATTGAGACATCTGCTTGCAAGCAAGCACATCTGATAGACATCTGATAGATAGACAATTAATCAATAGAACAACTTGCCTCCAGAAGTTGTGAATGCTCCAATACTGGAGGCTTTTAAAGAAGAGATTGGACAACCATTTGACTGAAATGGTATAGGGTTTCCTGTCTGAACAGGATGTTGGACTAGAAGACCTCCTAGGTCCCTTCCAACTCTATTATTCTGCTGTTCTGTTATAACAATAAGGCAGAAAATGGGCAGAGGGGAGGAATGAAGAAGCCAATCATCATGTACATCTTTTACATCATGGCTGATACAGTATAAAGGCTAAGCAACATGGCTATACATCCCCAATTTGAATCTTAAGATTCCTATCTTAAATTAATGGTTTAAAGGAGGTCGCTTTCAACAGTGTCTCATAAACTAGCAAAATGTTATTGCATATTAGGTAATAAGGGAACATAAAGCACACTGAAAACACTCTGCCAGGAATTGTTATTTATACTTGGAGAAGAATACCTGTTTTGGATTTGAAATAATGTTTTGTCACTAAATTCTTCCTGCTGGCCAACAGAGAGATTAAAATTATCTTGATTTAACAGCGCTATAGATCTGAATAAACATTTTTAAGTTTTGTTGTTGCTACTTTTGACAGAACTGTTTTGCTTTAGAAACCAATATTTGAAAAACCTTCCTAGAAATATTGTTAAACAATAAGATTACTTATAGTTAAAATGGTACTGTCCATCGACAAGAAGTGAAGTATCTGTGTATTTGGAAGTTGTATAGCAAATCTTATGCCTAATGATTTATAAGGCAAATTCTTTATTTGCTCCAATGATTTTGAATTTTTTTTAAGTAAAACAATTTATAGAACTTCAGCTCTAGATATCAGATGACTATTTTTAAACTCTGTTCATAGGTATAAATGATGTATTTAGTCCTTCAGTTCTGCTGGAGAAAGAGAATAAAAAGTTGACAGAATCAATCACAGATAAATCTCCCAAGCAATATGAAGCTCCTGGTCTATTTGAGGAAGATAACAATTTTGAATCCAGTAAGAGTAGTAGTGTTGTAGGTAAGTTTCTAAATCTTAAACTTTTTAACTCCTTCTCCTTTATCATAATTAAAAGAGCTTAGAATCTCTTTAGGTAATGTATCTTAGTTTGTGACAGTGCCCTTGCTAGTGAAATATAAGCTATTTTTCTGTAGTCTCCTGTGACATTAATAAAACTTTATTGCATATTACATTTAATTTATATCTTTAATGATATGTGGAAGTATTCATTAAAATATAGTATACAATAAATTATTTTAATTATATGTGAGGTCCCTTAATTATTTTTATCTATATATGTATAAGTGGTTTACCAGTATTATTGTTTTGTTAATTGACTTTCTCTGTTGCTGATAAATCTGATCCTAAAGTGAACTCTTTGTGTCTTATTTTTAAATAGCCAAACCTTCTGTGGACTTCTTTGATGCTGATGGGGATCTATTCAAGGAAAAGGCTGACATTGCAAAAAACGTAATTTTTCTTTTCAAACAGACTTTTTAAAAAAGTGTTACCCTGAAGATTAGTTTGTAATGAGCTACCTCAATTTCAACATCCAGTGAACTTAGATGTGAATCAGTTTAATCCCCCTCCTTCCAAATCCACCAAATATTTTGCAGTTAGTAAAATCAGATAGTGTCAGACCTGCCACAATTTAAACCTCTAAATTAAAATGATCCTTGGCTTTATTTGTTGAGAAAGAAATAGTTCATTAGAGATCAAGTGTATTGCAATAATGCAAAGCCAGAACTGAGAATCATGTACCAATATCCCTAAATTCTACTTTTCCCACCCTTAACTCTATTTCATTGCCCACCCCAGTATAACCAGTCAGGTTCAGGCAGGATGTTTTCATAAAGGTCAGTCCAAGCTCAGTTTGGTATGTGGTCCCCTTCTTCTTCCAGCTGGGTGACCATGAGGCAGCATCTTGAGCAGATACAGCAATTACTTTTTGTTTCCCAAAGCATTCTCCTCCCCTCATTCCCCCTTCCCACAGTTCCTGGCAGGCTATCACCACATAGCAGTGAAGTATAAGCAAGCATATGGTGGGAGCTGACAGATAGCTCTTCCTTTGCTCTAGAACAGAGTTCCCCAACCTTTTCAGCTTTGTGGAGGGGGGGAGAGTGGATGGTTTTGCGCAAGTGGTGGGCAAGCATGCACATTTCATTTGTGTGAAGGGTGGGCACGCATGCCCGCCATTTGGGAAAATGAAGCATGCAAGCATGCGCTTGTCCGATGTTTGCACAAGTGGGGATGTATGCTCGCCTGCTATTTCCATGGCCCGGTTCCGAATGTCGGGGGTTGGGGATCTTTGCTCTAGAAGAGAAGAGCTTGACTGAATGATGTAGTGGGGTTTGTTGTTGTCACTTCAGAGTCCACAGAGCAGATTTCATATACTGTTATGCTAGATTTAACTGGAATCTTCCATTTATGCTTTGGTCTAGTTCTTGTCACTTCCAAGAATTCTATCAAAAGTTAAGGAGAAGCTCTTCACAAAAATAGCACATGATACTTGGAAATATCTGTTCATCTTTTACATCAAGAACTGGTACATTTTTGGCGGTTGGGAGGCCAAACGTTTCCTGGAAATGGCTCACTATTATCTTAGTTGGAAAATAAAGAGAAAAAACACTCCAAAATACAAAACTGAGATATGTCATGAAAACGTTTCTGTATTAACATTAGAATTAAATTACACATAATGATATTGTATTTATCTTTGATTCTATATTAATAAATACCAGTCCCAGGCCAAATACAGTTTGATGAGACCTGACAGTCCTGCCCACAATTGGTGGCATTTCCTTGTTACCTACTTTTTTACCCGTTATCATTTCTCTTATCCTCCATTATTTCAACAGCAGTCTAATCTGATCCTCCATGCTACTAGTGAGGGAGTAGTACAGGTGAAGGAGGATAATCATATTTTACTTTCAACAAAGGCACAAAATCCTTAAGACACTTTCTGTCCTTTTAGCTCCTAATTTTTTACCATCTCTTTCTTGCAGGTGGACAAAATCTGATTGTCTGATTGAGGCACAAGGAGCAATACCTGCTCTTTGGTCACATAAAAAGAAAAGTGTTGATTAATTATGACATAAAGTAATTGGTAAACAGGAACAGTGCATGCTATAACAAAATATAGTGAATTAGCTTATGTAAATAAATTATCTGATTAGATAATGTTTGCAAATCTATGATGATTGAACTTCTAGTGCACAGTTGTAATCTAGGTTTCAGAGTTAGCTCATGATAAAACCTTTGTTTTTCTCTCTCAAATATTACCATGTGGTTAGGTTAAGCTCTTTTGCTTAATTCTAAAGCATAAGAAACGAGGGTATTTTGTTTTTCCTTGTCTTCACGTGGTTTTGTTTTTCCTTGCCCTCAATGGAAGGGAATGTATACTGTACGCACCCAATGAAAACTGATAATTCAGAGTTGGTACCACCTCTGAACTTTCAGTTTTGATTGTGTGCATACAGTATACATTCCCTTCTAATGAGGATAGGGAAAGGAAAAACAAAAAAGCCAGAAAGGCCTGAAAGGAAGAAAATTCTTCATATCAGAAACCACTTGTCTTTAGTTTTCATATATTGGTTTTCCAAATTTACAGGGGAAAAAAATCACAAATCAATGACTGGAAGTAATTTCAAAAGTAGACTGCTTGCATTAAACTCCTTTTAGATTTATAAATTTGTATGTGTATTGTGTGTTTTTAAGAGTCAATCTTCTTCTGATAAGAAGTTCAAAAATTTAACTCCAACACCTTTCAAGAGTCAGAAAGGCCTATTCTCTGATGAAGAGGATTCTGAAGTAAGTTCTTAATGATTTAATTTAGCATACAGTTAAATATTGCCTATACCACCTCCTTATTGAAATACTGAAGCTGGGAATAATTATGTCTCCTTTGCAATGTTAGCATGATACGTGAAAGCCGCAAGTATAATTATGATTACTAGCCATGGAACTCAAATTACTAAGATTTCTAGAAATGGGATATCTAAGTTGCACTTAACGTGCAACTCAATGTAATTGACTCATCGTAGTTGACTCACTCAACGTAGTGTCTTCAATGGAACTACATCTACATGGAAGAAAGGAAGCAGTAGGTTACCCCAAGGTTCTGTTTTAGGCCCAGTATTCTTCAACATCTCCATAAACAATTTAGATGAGGGAATAGAAGGGGAACTCATCAAATTTGTAGACAACACTAAACTGGCAGGAATAGCCAACACTTCAGAAGATAAGCTCAAGATCCAGATGGATTTCAACAGATTTGAACACTGGGCCCTATCTAATAAAATGAAATTCAATATAGAGAAAAGTAAGGTTTTACATTTGGGCAAGAAAAATCAAATGTACAGGTACAGATTAGGTGCAACGAGGTTCATTAGCAGTAACTGAGAGGGATCTTGGCTTCCTAATGGACAGTCACTTAAATATGAGCCAGCGGTGTGCAACAGCAGCCAAAAAAGCCAATACAATCCTAGGTTGCATTAACAGAGGGATAGAATCAATATCACATGAAGTATTAGTACCATTTTATAAAGCCTTAGTAAGACCATACTTAGAATACCTCATCTAGTTTTGGTCACCATATTATAAAAAAGATGTAAAGACTTTGGAAAGAGTACATAAAAGAGCAACAAAGATGTTTAGGGGGCTGGAGGCTAAAACATATGAAGAACAGTTGCAGGAATTGGGTTTGTCTAGTCTAGTAAAAAAAAGGACGAGGGGTGACATGAAAGCAGTGCTCCAATATTTGAGGAGCTGCTATAAAGAAGAGGGAGTCAACCTATTTTCCGAAGCACCAAAAGGGAAGGCAAGAAAAAATGGATAGAAACTAATGAAGGAGAAAAATAATCTAGAACTAAGGAAAAATTTCCTAATAGTGAAAACAACCAATGGAATGGCTTGCCTTCAGAAGTTGTAGGTGCTCCATCAGAATAGACTGGATAGCCACTTATCTGGAATGGTACAGGGTCTCCTGCTTGAGTAGGGGGTTGGCCCTTCCAACTCTGTAATTCTGTTAAGTTGAAAAATATAGGAGAATTTTTCATTATAAAGATGAGATGAGAGTTTCTTCTTTACTGGGATGGGGATAAAAGGGCACATGTTGTGTGCTAGCACAATCAAATATCTGCTGCAAACTAGAGGCTCACAACTCAAGTCTCTAATATTTGCCTTGACATGTAACTTGGTTAATAGATTATCAATTGGAGGAACCGGTCTTTACTTCCTTCCTACTACCTATAACTACCAGAGCTCAGAATAGCACCTGTCCAACAGTGATTGTGAAAGTGTGTTTCAGGAGTGTTTTATTTTAACATTAGTTCATCTTCTGCCAGATATGGAATCAATTCTTGGGCTCAGTATCTTTACTAAAATGTTTGACAGCACAAGGGTGTTACACAAGAATAGTTATTTAGTGTTTACTGTTTTGATAGAAAGGCTGTTAACATAATGATCCCTTGCTATCAAGGGATAGCATTCTTCCATTTACCATTTTGTTGTCTTCAGTTGGCTGCTGAAAACGTTCCAAAAGGGTAAATGCATATCTTTAAAAATGCTATATGTGGCTTTCTTTCATACGCAACAGGATTTGTTTTCTTCACATCAGCCTACAGAAGTGAAGAATTCATCTTTGTCATCTACTAAAGTAACGATAAAAACTTCATTGTCTTTGTTTGAAGATGAGGAAGAAGAGGTATGTAATACCTGAAAACACCATTTTATAGTAAAAGGTGATAAGATGACTGTAAAACTGAGAAAATTCCATTTGTATTGATCTGTGTGTTTGAAATTTAATAGATCCTTTCACAGGTCAATTTGCCTAAGAACCAAAAATCAGATCTAATGTAATCTACGATCTTGAATTTTATTTCTCAAGCAATAAATGGTTAATGTTAAAATAAAACAAATTTATCAAGGTCACTAGAGGATGGATTGAGAGAAAGGAGATGAAATTCAAAATACAAACTCAGATGTGCAACAGTCTCATTTTGTACCACCAAAACAAAGCTTTCCAGAAACATTCTTAATATACATGGTAATTTCAGTTAGTTGTTTTTTTCTCTTTAAAACCAACTTCCTCTGAAGCACTGCTTTATTCAGGTTTTTTTTATTCTGAGCTATAATCTTCCTTTCTTCCCCCCAATCCTTGATTGGGTTGCTTGCTCAGCCATAATCAGCAGCCACACAAAACTGAGACCAACAAAGAAGCAGCAATACTGTATTCACTTCAGCATAGTCAGGAACAATGTAAAAATATACTTCTTGTTTGTTGATTTGATACTTCTTTTTAATATCTACATCTTATAAAACTAAAACTGAAAATCTTTTTAAAACAAAACAAATTTAATATGAAATATTTCTCATCACAGAAAATGCAAAATTAACCACCAATGTCAAATGTATCTGCAGTATATTTCGACAGAAGTTGCACACTGCTGATTTAGGATTGCCCGGCAGAGAGTATGGGAATAGTTTGTCCCAAGCACACAAAGTTTGTTTTAAGTTCCCATTTTTTCCTACTGTGAAAGATGCAATACAACTTTGGAATATAAAATACTGTTAGTGGTTTGTTTGGAATAAAACATTTTTCCATTCAAATGTTTATGAATTTATATATGCATATAAGAATGTCCTCCGTGAGACTTTAGAGAAGACAGAAATTTACTGATTGCAGATTTTCTCAGAATTTCATGGAGGGTATTCTCACATCTTATTTTTAGGGACCACTTGAAAGTTATTCCTGAGGTTTCTGCAAGAATCATGGAGATGACAAAGTGGTTATTACTTCCAGGCCTACTGACAGTGCTGCATGTGTAAGAAGGGCATGGTAGAGAGTTATGATTTGATCCCCACTGATGCTCATCTATTAGTATACTCAATATTAACTCTAAACATAGATGTAATATAAATTAATATAATCAATATAAAAAGTATTTCCCAAATCGAAAGTTTTACTCATAGTTAGTAGCCTTATCATCTCATGGCTGGATTATTACAATAGTCAATGTGAGGTTGCCCTTGAAGATGATGTGGAAGCTGGTGGTATATGCAGGAAACTGAGTAGTTATAGGTTACAGTTACAGGTATGTGGAAGTTCACTCATGTAACACCACTACTGTGGAAGCTATTGTGATATAAGTTAGCTTCTGGATGCAATTCAAGATACTAATCATCAATTTTAGAGCTCATGGACTGGATAGCTCCAAGTAGAATCTCATTCTCAGGTAAGATCTGGGAGAGAAAGGAAGTTCCTTCATTGAGAGAATGGCGCCTTCACTGCAGGGCTCAAGCCTTCTCACTGATGGTCCTCCTTAGCTTGCTCACCATTATACAGACCTCCTTTCCTTATCACATTTTCAGGAAACCATAAAACATAGTTCTTCAGAAAGGCATTTCACAGTGAGGTGCATTTAATTGTTTAACAGGGAAGTTGAACAGAAGTTTGAATAGAATCTGTACAAGTCTTGAAAATCACTTATGTAAATATCAATGAAGGAGACTGGAAAAAAGAGATGGGCAGCTCAAAAATGTGAAATATGAATAAATAAAAAGGCATCAGATCTTAGCACTGGAGCACAACACTCAATGTGTACCTTCTATCATTCAATAGGATAATTATTTAGAAAATTAGCTTTCTTATTTTCATAGGTGGTATGTATTTTTTGAGATGTAAAGGTGCAGCTAAATAGCTTTATAATACATGAACTTAAGAAAAGCTACATTGGGGCTTAAAATTTGTGAACCCTTTTGACTTGTCAATATTTCGGCGCCAATACGTGATTGGTTCTCACACAAATCCTAAAAACTAGACAAGAGAATCCAGTTAAATGACTCAAAAAGTGTGTGTGTGTGTGTGTGTGTGTGTGTGTGTGTGTGAGAGAGAGAGAGAGAGAGAGAGAGAGAGAGAGAGAGAGAGAGAGAGAGATGGCCCAAAGTTACCCAGCCTACATGAAACTGATTATATTGTGTTCCCTTGAGTCCATTTTATTCTGTTTACTGTGCATTGGTTAATTATGAGTTGTGTAGTAAAAATATGGAGCCTAGTACAGATTGGTTTTTTATTGTCTGCAGTAAATTAAATTCTACTTGTCTTTTTTTTCCAGGACCTCTTTGGATCTGTGCCAAAGATTTCAAAATCTTCTCAGGAGAGAACAGCCACCTTATTTTTCAGCAGTGATGAAGAGGTACCATGTTCAGAAGTTATTAAAACGTGGGTCTGCAACATGAAGCCAAATTTGTTTACTATAGAACCTTCATTGCTTGGGAATTGTTTACATATGATGGTTTCATTTGCTCTGTTTCAAGCCAATGTAGAATATGCAGTGCCAAATGAGCCTACTCTGCCTCTGAAGTTCTGTTGGCCCCAGATATAAGGACTAAGATCCAGAAATAAACATGATTAAAAAAAAAACCATGGAACAACCGTTATATTAAATATCTTCTGTTGTTACAGGATTGCTTTTTCTTCAGAATGTAGATTATGTGTTAAGTAGGAATTTTGAATCAGAGAAGTTGAATTTGTTTTAAATTTGTGCATCACATGACTACAAGAGACTCACTCTGGGCAATACATAAAGCCACCCAGCACTAAAAGTAAGGGACAAAAAGATGGCAAAAACTGGGCAACAAGAAACGGATCCAAAAGATCTACATCCTTCCTAGCCAAAAACCTGGATGCGGAGTCAGCTCTTTAAGGCCCTCCTAAATACCAGGAAGGAAGAAGCCCCACAGATCTCAAGAACCTAATTCCAGAGGGCAGGGATTATAACAAGAGGCAATATTCTTTCAGAGTCCCAACAAATACCATTGTTTGGTTACTGTTGGCATACTAACCCTTTCTTATTGAATCGGCCGGCAGATACTATGTGAGACAGGCAATCCTTCAGGTTTATAGTTAACGATCAGCACCTTAAATCACACCCAAAAGTAAACTGGAAACAGGGAAACACACAAAGCAGAGTTACTGTATGGTCATATTGAGACATGTCTATCACTGCCTTCACCACTCCATTCTGGAAGAGTTAAAACTTCTGAATAGTCTTCTAGGGCTATTCTAGCATGTAGAAGATATTGCATTATGACAGAAAACTAGGTCATCAGTCACTGAAGGATTTTAGACATATTTTATCAGACTAGTAAAAAGACATATTCATAGGTCATATTCATAACCTGTTTTCCATTAGGATCCCCTTTAAGCTATAACTAATATTTAATCTTATTTTGATTTCATGCTCTTAAGAAAAACATTTGAGTTATATGGTGAGATTGGTTTAGTTCTGGGTTCGTATGTTACTATTTTGGTACCATCTTGATTATTATGCATTTATTGATGTACTTTGATGTGAACTTGACCCTCCATATTTGAACCTCTGTATCTGAATAATGAATAACAAGACTGAAGAATAATTACATAATAACTGCTATATTTTTTAGGATCATTGTAATAATAAAAAAGAGGTCAAAGCTACTTCTGAAGGAAGTAAAAAAAAGGTTCCTGTAAAGTCTGCTTATGGGTCCAGTCAACCGATTAAGAGAAGCCTCTTTGAAGAAGAAGGAGGAGGAGGAGAAGATGATTTTGTTGTTACCACAAAAGACAGGTAAAAGATTTAGCTACAAGAAAATGACATGTTCATTTATTAATACTGTATTTTATTCAAAAAGGATTTTTTTAAAAAAAAGATAATTGGTTCAGATTTAGTGACAAAGTATCTGAATTGTTTTTGGAAACTAGGAATTTTGAATCTATTACTTTCTTACTTGTGAGCATTGGGAAATGGTTGAAGAGCATTGGGAAATGATCAAAATTAAGATTCTGTGGAGTCCAATTATTACTAAATGCTTTTTTGTTTTTAAAGTTCAAATGCCTGATTAGCTAAGACGGCCTCCAGCAGATGCTATTTCTGAGAAAGGGGAGCATAAGTTTTTATTATTATTATTTAGTGCATTCTCAAGCACAAAAACTGTTGACATCTCTTCATGAGAGTTGTACCTCCGGCTTCCCCGGATTCTGGGGGACCTGAAAAGGCATTATTTTCAGCCACCAAAGATAGAGCTGACAGGAAAATGTTAACTCCCTCTCTCTTACAAAAAGGCAAGACAAACTACAATAAGTGCTTTTGGGACATGTGGAAGAAACAGCATTTCCTCAGTTATAGCTCTGTCTATTATAAGAACAAAAAATAAAAATGGAAAAGATGTGAAAGAAATTGTCAGCATGATAAAAGGATTGTTTTTGGAAAAAGTAGGAAAGAATTACATAAACCATATGGGGGTTATGCCACTAATCATTTTCTTAAACTGCTATGCTAAGAATTGAGGGGGAAATAAACACTGGAGGAAAAAAAGACTGCAGGGGCTTGATTTTTTTTTTTAAAAAAATGAGCTCATAGGAAGAACAAACTTCAGCTGAACACCAGAAGCCTTAAAAGGGTCACATTACTCACCTGTCAACACCATGAACAAAGGAGATACTATCCATCAGGAACAGTTGATCAGAGGATGGATTGCTCTGGTGTATTCAGCCAGCAACCAGCATCTCTTCAACAAGAAGCAGCTGTAACATCACAACTCATTTGGTCAGATCTGGTAGCATGTGTCTTAATAGTCATTAATAAGGCAACAATCTAAGTCAGGGGTGTCAAACTGCCAGCCCGCGGGCCGGTTTCATCATACCGGAGTCGCGCCCACCCCATTGACGGCAATGGCGAAAAAGCTCCGATACGTCGCACGATGTCACGTGACGTCGCGAGTTTGACATGCCTGATCTAAGTGGAAAAAGGTAATTCTTTAAACATTGTAAGACAAATAGCTGTGCTTCCATAGAGTAGCCTTTGAGCACATGTGCTACATGGGGTTATTTAATCTTTACCAACCCTTTCTGGATCTGCTACTGTAGACTTGCTTCTTGCTTCCATCTTTAGTGACTAAAAAAAGTAATTGTATTCAGTTTATGGTATTCAAATAATGGCAGGTACTCAAATAATGGTAGTCTGATGACTACTGGAAGAGTTGACACCAGGGTTTATTAGGGCTGGAGGCTACATGGGAAGTCAGAGAAACGTACCAAAAGAAGCGCGGAAGTACCAATAAAACTGCATGATTATATTTATGTTGTAATCAGGAATTGGAGAGCCAATTTGGTATAGTGGTTAATACATCAGGCTAGAAATGGGGAGACTGTAAATACTACTCCCAGCTTAGGCACAAAGCCAGCTGGATGATTCTCAGCCCTAGGAAAAAGGTTATGACAAACTGCTTTTGAAATCTTGCCCAAAAAACCTCAGGGACTAGTGCAGGAAGTTACGAGGAGTCAACAAAGGCACAAAAAAGAAGGGGAAAAAATCCAGGAATTATTCTTAGTTCAGAGATTTTACAATTAATTAATGTAGGCAATATAATACTTAACTAGGTTAGCTCTTAGCTTGACCTAACTGATAAAATAGTTGTGAAAATAGTTGTAAAGAAATAATTACAAAATTCTAGCTATTAGCTAAATCACAGATATATTATTAAAATGCCATTATAATAAAAGATAACAAGGTAATAACAGACATCCACCTTGGACCAAACTCCAAATCTTAATCATTTTAAATAATGCAGGTTTGACTTTTTTTCTTTGTTTCAGTAGTAAAAAAACACCTCAGAAAACTGCTGCTCTATTTGAAGACGGTACCTTGCACTACAGCTCTCAACCAGCCTTAACCAGCCCTCAACCAGCCTCATCTGATGCCCAAACAATAACAGTACGTACAGATCAAGTAAGCAGTAATCCAAATTGTGACTTTGTAAACATTAAAGCAGGGGTCTTCAAACTTGGCCCTTTTATGACTTGTGGACTTCAACATCCAGAATTCCTCAGGCAGCATGCCTGGTTGAGGAAATCTGGGAGTTGAAGTTCACAAGTCATAAAAGGGCCAAGTTTGAAGAGCCTGCATTAAAAGGTTAACACTCTCATTCACCTGATACAGCACTTTGCATCCTATTCTGTACATTGCAAAAAGTGTAATCCTAATGACGGTTATAGCAACTTAGATGCATCCAATGAAGGTTTGAGGGGGAAAAAGGTGACATTTCTGAATAATCAGTTATGGGATTGCAATCTGAAAGATTTGTGTAAGAATAGCAGAATCTTACAGCAATTTGTCAGTTTATTAAATGTATTATGAGAATTTGTGGATTAGAATCTATTTTAATCATATACATGATGGAAGTGATCAAATCTAATTTATTTATTTTTTTACAAATAAGGCGATAAACATATCCAACACACCTCCTTTCTCCTATTTTCCTCACAACAATAACCTATGAGGTGAGTTACGCTGAGAGAGAGTGACTGGCCCAAAGTCACCCAGCTGGCTCTTCATGGCTAAGGCAGGACTTGAACTCACAATCTCCCACTTTCACGCATAGTGCCTTAACCACTAGACCAAACTGGTTCTATCCACAAAATCTTACTATAATAAATTCATTCTTTTAAAAAAATATTATAAATGATGTATCTGGTTGGTAACAAATACAACATGAATTTTTTAAAACAGTAAACTCCACTACTTCGTTGTCTAAATTTAAACAGCAAAACCCAGTTATAATGTATCTTCCTATTTGTCATCTGGATAACATAGTAAATCACAAATAATAATAGAAACTTCTGAATATAAAACATTGGCTATTTTGATGTTCAAGAGCAACTGTTAGGACTGGATTTTCTGGTAAAGCAGGTTAAGATAAAATAGATTAGATAGATAGATAGATAGATAGATAGATAGATAGATAGATAGATAGATAGATAGATAGATAGATAGATAGATAGATAGATAGATAGATAGATAGATAGATAGATAGATAACCTTTATTGCCATTTTTTACTGTGGGCACAATGGCACACATTAAAAATGAAATTTGGTTGCTTGCTCTCAAAGTGTACACATACATAACACATTTAAATATACTATATATATATGTGTGAACATAATTCTGTGAGCAATTACCGGTTCCCTCTGAATTGGAATTCCATGAATTTCTGAGCTAATTTTAATACAAGATGTACTGTATATGTGTATCCATCAGTTAAGCACTGATTATAAACATACATGATACCTCCAGGCCATTTGTAGCATGGGTGCTTATAGTTGTAAAAAATAAGAGTTTTATAGAGAAGGATAGAATCCTCATCTTTTATTTCTTGATCAGCAGAAAGATTTCATGGAAACACCTCAAAAGAAATTAATAGAAAAGAAGGCAGGACCTTCGGAAGAATCTGGTATACATCATGGTTATGATCTTGGAGAAGAAGAAAATGTATTGGAGCAACAAAGGAAGGAAAAAGTGAGGAAAAACTTTTGTATATATTATGTATATGTTGCTACATACCAATGGTGCAACATTTTATAAAAATTCTCTTTAAGATTTCAGTCCTTTCAACCCCATATTTTCCCATTGTTCCATATGCATATTATAACCAATTTTTTTATCATACATTATCTCACTTCTGTTTCAAATTTCAGTAAAAGTTTTATTTCAATAATTACATGTTCATTGGTAAGCAATTCTATTTCAAATTTATCTTACGCTATTCAAAACCATAAATTATTTTTTTCTACTCTAAACCTTTATGATAGTTGTACATAAGAAAATCATTGGCAGGTACATTCATCTGCCACCAGTTTTCTTTTATTTTAAATTCCCCTTGACAAAATTCTGATTTCTCACAATAGGTAAGTCATTTTTGTTTTCTAATATTTCTTGCCTGTAATGTTTCTTGTGCTGAGAATCATAAAAGCTGAGTTTGTATCTATTTCATATTCTTGATATCGCATGTATAACCTAATGATTTTTAACTTTTGCTTTATTGTACGACAAAGTTGTCCATCTTGCAGTTAGCCAGATGTCAGATGGGATTTGGCGTTTTTGTCTGCCTAGTGGGTCCTTCCCAAGCACCTGGAATAGGCAGATGTTGATGTTTAATGGTGTTACAGATATTGCCCCAGGATGTAAGCTGTTCTGAGTAAAGTTGCCTTTGCAATTGACTGATGGTGAATTTGTCAATATTGATGGTGTTCAAGAGATGCTCCTGTTATTTTGAGATTGCAGCCAAAGTGCCCATTACTATTGGTGTTACCTTTGCTTCCTTTTGCTACAGTTGTTTTATTTCTCTTCACTCAAAAGTTATCCAGTTCTTTCTCTCATATTCTGTTGTCTCCAGGTATTGCCACATCCACTATCCAGACTGTTTTGTCTTTTTTATTGACAATTGTTAAGTCTGAGGTGTTATGTGGCAGTTTGAATTCTAAAACAGAGCTTCCCAATCTTTTGGGCACCAGGGACCAGTGCCATGGAGAAAGGTTTTTTTCGCAGACCACAGGGTATGTGGTTTTGAATACTGCTTGCATCCCGAGGATGGAGCTTTGCTTGTTTGTGCGGCCCGCTTGCTGGCATGCTACGGACCGATGCCGGTCCAGAGACCGGGAGTTGGGGACCCCTGTTCTAAAATCCCAGAGCACTTTAGCTTCTTCATTTTCTATGACTTTCTCTATTTTATGGTCCCATCAATTCTTGCTTGCAGGCAAATGGTATTTCTTGCAGGTCTTCCAATGCACCATTGTTGCTACTTTGTCATGCTGCTGCTTGTAGTCAGTCTTCTTGCAGCAACCAACAAGTGATCCACTGTTTCTTTAGCTCCTTTGCAGGGGCAACAGTTGCTAACTGTTACTGCCATCACAATTCTAGATTTGTATGCATTTATTCTTAAGTTTGTGCAACCAGAATTAACTCCTCTGCCTCTTTCTCCAGATTTTCTGCTGTTAGCCATTGCCAGGTCTTGCTATAATCTGTTTTCCCTGCTATTTTTTAATGTACTTTGTCTTCCTGTGCCTGTTTTATGTTCTTCATTTTGTCTTCCTTTTAGGCCAGTTTGGTGTCTCAGTAGGTGCTCCTGGTATACTAGCTTCAGTGGATCTTCTTCACTGCCCTTCAGATTTTCTTCCAATGCCCTTTTTTCCTCTTCAACTGTCTGATGCACTTCCAACATTCCACACCCACCCATTTTCTTGTGATAAGTAGAGTCTGTCAACATCACTCCTAGAATGAAGGGTGTGATTCATTGTCATTATTTTTCTAGTCTTTCTATCCAGGGCTATTCTGCTTGAGTCTAGTACATTATTCCAGCTGTGTATCTAATGACTGGGATTGCTTAGCTGTTAATTGCCTTGATGGTATTTCCTCCACCGAGTTTGGACTTTAAGAACTTCTTCACTGTCTTAATGTATTTTACTTCTAACCTTTTTCTTGACTTCAGTGAGCTTGAAGGATGCCCAGATATTTGTAGTGATCTTCATCCAGAATCTTGGTGTGATTTCCAAAGGGCATCTCGATTTCTCAGTTTTTACTGTGTTTTCCATGGAGATGGTAAGGGGTAGCACATTTGCCCAGTTCAGATTCCATCATGATGTCTTGGCAGTATATCTGGACAGAGCTGAGCAGTGATTCTATTTCAGTTTTTCCATTCAGCTTCAGCTCATCATCATGTAAAGGAGGATCATCGTCATATAAAGGAGGTGGGATAGCCTGGCAGATATTTTTGATGTTTGATAACCATGACTGACTTGTTCAGTATTTTTGACTGACGAATCAGTGCATTGACAAGCAGTAGTGGTGATAGTGAGTCTCCGTGAAAGATTCCTCTCTTGATGTTAACCTCTCCCAGTCTTTCATTATTGGTCAGCAATTGTGTCTTCTTCCATTGTGCCACTGATCTTTACACTTTTTTTTTTGATGTTCCTACTGACTCCTATTTTTTCTAGCCACTTTATCCAATCATGTGGCAGGAAGTCAAATGCCTTCTTGTAATTAATCCAGGTTACATTCAAGTTGATCTTCAATCTAGCAGCCATCTTCAGAGTAGAAATCCCCCACTGGGTGCCCAGGGCAACTTGCAGAGCCAAGTCTTTAGGTTCTTACAGAAGGATAGAAGATTAGGGGGCAATCTTATCCTGGAGGGCAGGATATTCCAAAGGCCAGTGCTGCAGCAGAGAAGGCTCTTCTTCTGGATACCCACAGTCAGAGTTCTGTGACCGACAGGATCTACAATAAGCCCTCTTTACCAGCCAAGTACAACAGGCTAGTCATAGCGGGACAAGACAGTTCATCAGGTAGCCGAGACCTATACAACTAAGGGTTTTAAAGGTCATAATCAACACCTTGAACTGCACTTGGAAGCAGACTGGTCACCAATGGTTGTTTGCAGAGTAGACATTTAATATGAGCCATCCTATGAGCTCATAAATATCCATGCCACCCAAATCTCAGGTCTCGTCCTTTTGACTCCAAGAGCCTTCTATTTCTCAGCAGAACCTCTCTTTCATATAAACCAAACAGCAAGTTGCAAAATATAATTTCAAATCAGGTAAACCCCACCTTTCTAGTGAAAACAAATTTAAACATATCCTTCTGCCATTGTTTAAATAGTGAATCAAGTGTCAAAACAGGTATTGTCTGAAACAAAACTGTCATTTTGGCAAGACATTTACTTTTATCACTTGTCATAGTGGTACCCGGATATTTTGCTTTCTATTCAATCTTAAAACCTATTTTATTCATCAATTCTATTTGAGCTCCTATTTTCATATTTTTGTTAACATCTTTGTCTTCTGTTTATTAAACTTGAAAGATGCTAATGTTTAAAATTATTTTCGTTTGCCACACAATATCTTACACAAATCAATTTGTGGAGTTGAGCAAATTATTAGATATTAGATATATGTTTACTGCTTTGTATATATAAAGTGGAATAATAAACACACCGAGACTTAACAATTGTAGATAAAAAAGACAAAAAAGTCTGGATAGTGGACATGGCAGTACTTGGAGAAAACAGAATAGAAGAGAAGAAGATAACAAAATACAAAGACCTGTAAATAGAAATAGAACGATTGTGGCAAAGGAAAGCAAAGGTAGTACCAATAGTAATAGGTACCAAGGGTGCAATAAAGCATTAGTTGTACTTCATCAGCATTGACAATTCACCATCCGTCAACTGCAAAAGGTACCTTTACTTGGAACAGCTTATATCCTGCAACGATTAACACATATGCTTAACCCAAGTCTTTGGGACGGACTCAGTAGCTGGACAAAAATGTTAAATCCAGTCTGAACATCTGACAAATTCAATCAATTTGTCACAGGCCCAAACAATAACTTCTCTCTGTGAACTTCTAGCTCTTTTTGGAGAAAGATGCCAAGAGAAAAATGCGAAGTGCGTACAGTTTGTTTGAGGAAGAGGAGAAAAATGAAGTTATGGATTCTAGTAAGAATAAACATATTGGAATAGGGAAGGTGAGTAACATATGGGGGGTGGAATGGGACGACTCACCGTGGGCAGGTGTGGCAGGGAGGGCACAAAGGAGTGGGTGTGGCCAAGTCAATGCGGATGACTTGGCATGAGTCTGGTGGGTGTGGGAAAGGGCACGGATGGGTGGCTGTTAATGGCAGGACATGGCCAGGTCAGTGTGGAATAATTCACCCTGGCCAACTGTACTTGGGGACAACACAGTGTCCCACCAGCAAAAAAAAGGGGGGGGGTTGACACCTTCCCCATCCCAGGGCCGAGAGAAGATTTGATTTGCTCCTGCTGTCCTCCCCACTTCTGAGAATTGCAACTTTGCACTGCCGTTGTGAGTCATCCCATCCCAGTGCTAAAAAACCCCTTAAAAATAGTGTTCTGTTATGGAGAGAGATCCCACCCCTTCTATTGCCCCCCAACTCAAATCCACTGTGAGTCATTGATTACTGTGGAATTTCTTCCTACTTCGAAACGTCCAGGCCCCATCTCTGTCCCTTTGATCTCAACTTTGGGGTGTCCTTGGTGCCCCAGCAACACAGACTCAACTCCTTAAGTCTTCACCTGCAGGCATGTGTGTGTGTGTGCGCGCGCGTGTGTGTGCGCATGTATTGCCAAATATATTGTCACAATGGATTTTTACTCTTGGATGATTTTTACATGCAACAGTGCTGAATCTCCAAATCAGGGCAGCAATATTCTCAAGTTGTGTAGATCTCTCTTTTCTTTGTCCCCTGCCCCACATGTTCCCAAAAAAGAGGAGACTTGACAGGGCAGCAGCAACCTCCACTCACCCCACCCTGTGGATTTCCCATCACCGACTGAAGTCCTTCGCTGCCCGCCTGGCAGTGGGTCAAGGGACATCTTTCCGATGGGGCAGTGTTTCCCTGCACCACGGGCTTTGTCACTGATATGTGACAAGAGTCCTTCTCTCTTCCTGCCCCATCTTTTCTCCCTCCCACCATCTCTCCCTTCCTCACAGCTACTCACTGGCTGCCAACACATCCAGAGTTGCACACCCGCAGCTCCTGGCACACCAGCTTGACGAGGGTCTCTCCCTGCCCACAGCGCCGCTTGGCTCTCCCCCGCACTTCCCACAGATCAGCCAGCCAGAAAGATGCTCCCATAACCAGCAAAGTTGACTGCTGCCTCTTGGCTTAAACCCACAGATCGGCAGAAGGCATCTTGCCTGCCCTCCATCCATGTGGGGAGGGAAGTGAGCGGTGCTGTGGGGAGGGAGGGACCTGCCATGCCAGGGTCTCCAGCTGGTTCCCCACCCTGCGCAGCGCAGTGGAAGCCACATGGATGGAGGGTAGGCAAAGTTGCAATTCTCAGAAGGGGAAGGACGGCAGGAGCAAATCGAATCTTCTCTCAGCCCTGGAGTGGGGAAGGTGTCACCCCCCCCCTTTTTTTTTGGTTGTGTCTAGGTAAGGTTACAAGAGCACTGACATCACCACAGAGCTTTTAATGCAGCTGGAGATTTGAGCTCTTTCAAACTCTTCCCTCCATTGGTCTGAAAGGAAGTTTTTCCAGAGGAGGCGGTGGATTGACCACTGCCAGGCTCCAGTATGGGCTCCAGGAGGCACACGCTTACCTGCTGGTAGTTCGGGGAGGCAAGGAGCTGGTGGGCCATTGAGTTGTCCCCATGTCCATTTGGCAGGGGTAACTTGTTCCACACCGACCCATCCACACCCAGCCATCCATGCCCACCTGCCCACACCCACCTGGTTGTGCCAAGTCATCTGTGCTGAGTCATCCACATCAACTCAGCCACACCCACTCCTTCGTGCCCACCCAGCCACACCCATCTGGCCGTGCCCACCCATCCATGCCCATCTGGCCACTGTGAGTTGTCATAGACCCTGGGTGGGGTACTAAAAATATCCAACTTGCCTTCTCTGTTATCAGTTTGTAGGACTTAATTTTTTTTTAGTCTGGAATAGGTTTAGGAGTTGCAGTATTGGTATCACTCCACTTTTCCCCCAAAGAATCCCAATTTGCTGTAAAATATATTAAAACTGACAACATATTGTCAGTGTATTCCCCATTGTGTGCTTGCTTACTATTTTGCAATCCCTTTCTCTCCTGTATCTCCACTCTGGGAAGGAAACAAGTCAGGCACAGAAAAGGTTGCCTATAGTGTAGATTTCCTACGCTTCCCTCACTTTCTTCCCTTCCTGTTTGAACACTTTCTACTCTGCAAGGGAAGAAAAAAAAGAAGCAACCTCTTTAAGCATTTCTCCTGTGCTTGATTTGTTTTTTTGTTCTTCCCCCCTCTTGCACAGCAGAGATATTGGAGAAGAAGAGATTACAAAACACTAAGCAGATGTACAGTGGAAAATACACCCATTGCCTTGTACCAATGTAATGTTTTCTGTTTTCTAATCCCTTCCTCTCCAATGACTGAAAGTACAAACATTAATTCCCTTCTTTCTAATTATCTCAACACCTGGGTGAATATTCCAAAGAGTAAGAAAATGAGAAAAATAAAAGCTGAGTTGTAGTTATGTTATTTCACTCTCAACAACTGCTTCGCTTAACAACTGCTGATCCTAATTGTGGTTACTAAATGAGGACTACCTGTATGTTGCCCACCACACAACATCAGTGGGCTGTGCTATTTTTGCATACAGATGAGTTCCTCAGCAAGTAGCTGATCTGCTCTAATTGTTACATTTTGACACTGTGTTTTGAAAAGAATTCAATGGTTTTTTCCAGCCTTCAGAGAAGAGCACAGGTGTGTTTCAAGATGAAGAACTTCTCTTCAGCCGTAAACTGCAGGAAGACAATGATCCTGAAGTTGACCTTTTTGCTAACGAAAAAGTGGTTAGTCAACAGTAAATGCTTTCATTTTTTGTTTACAGATTGCTTTATTTCCAAATGGTTAAATAACAAGCAAAAGTTAGACATTTCTGTTGATTTAATGGATTGCATGTAACCTTTAAAAAGTGTCATAATGGATTTTCTAATTGACTTTAAAGTACTTATAAGTAATTATAAGGATGGAATATGATAGTGTAGGAAACTATGGACCTCCAAATACTGCTAAATGACAGCAACCCAGACAGCAGAGAAACAGGGAGTATAAACTTTAAATAGGCAGGTAACTTTTTAAAAGTGAAGAAGTGGACATAGTTCTTTTGACACAGTGGGTCATTTCATCATTGAGGGATTCACTTCTGATTGTAAGAAATACATAAGAAATGCCTTTTTATCTCTAGTTTAAATTAGATTGTGGCAACTCAACTTGTAAACAACAGTCTGATACTATCGTTGTATAAAATTAGTGATTTGTTAAAAACAAGTAAAAAGTATTTAGGAAATAGTTATTTGTTCATCCTATGTATATGATACGTATGTATATTTCTGTTTCAATTTCAGATTTCAAGCCCTAAAGCAAAATTATCATCTGGAGAATGGCTATTTGGGACTGATGACAATGGTGACGATGGTCTGTTCAGCAATTCTGCCACAAAGTCCTTGGTACTTATCATGTTGTATTTAATATTTGAAAAGGCCTCAGATGTTGCTTTTTGTTTGGATTGCTTGAGATTGTTTAAATCACATAATAGAAGTATGTAAATTATTCCAAGCTCTGAGTGATCTAAGCTTGGAAGAAAACATTTTTGCCCTTATTCAAGAGCACTACTGCTGCTTGGCTGTCACAACATTTGCTACCCTATAGCTTACAATTGGAGGATTTTCCTAAGAGCAAGCTAATGGGTACATACTCCGGGATGATTGCCAAAAGCAACATGTTATTTTGAAGAATCTTCTGAGATGCCCATAAGGATCTTTTTTGTTACTTTTGACATGCAATACTAAAGTATTTCCTTTTGGTTTAAAATATTTTGTTACTTCAATATAATTTACACACTCACACATACACACAGAGAGAGAGAAATTGAGAGCAATAGTGCAGAATATAAATAGTATTGCATCAGAATCCAGTAGTATTCATAAAGTTTCTTCAGAATCTAAACTCACAATTTAAAATGTGGCAACAAAAACATAGTTGATTTACATAATATGAAAAGGCTCCAAGCTGACTGGTATGTTTTACATTTTACAGTTCAACTTTATTTGAAAAGAAAAAAAAAGCTGAGTAGTAGAATGGAGTTATAGGTCCATATCTATTTCCTTTTTTCTTAATTTGACATACTTATGCCTCTACCCATGTAAAAGTTTAAGCTGACAAATAATTGGGATAAATAGTATTGATTTTACCATGTTTATAATGTTTAGACTTGATAAATCAGTATACTGAAACAAATTAAGTTGGTTTTAAGTTATTCTAAGAGAATGCACTATTCTGTTTTTGTAATCATAAATTGTCATTTTAGAGCAAGGCACATATTTCAGTTTTTAAATATTAATGACATTGGCAACTTGCAGCTGCTTTCATAACTAACATAAAGCACCACCTTGCTTTTTTAATATATTACTTTAATTTTATTTTTTGTAAGGTACTGGAAAAGAAAATGAAAATAGAGAAAGACAGCACCATTTTGTCCTTGGAAAAGGATAGTAAAGTTCTGCAGACTAATCAAAATGAGAAACAGGGAGAATCAAAAACTCAGGCCACTGAGGTTTGTAAAGTACAATTTTGAATTACAGTTTGAATATATGAAAATTACATATCTTAACAAGGAAAGGCATTTGGATGTTCCATAACCATTAGTAAGAGGGGTAAGTATCTTCAGATGGAAACACACACACACACACACACACAAGCCTATTGTGCTGTTCCCTTTTTGTATAAGCAAACCTAATCACAATGTAGAAATGGTAAACCAATAATAAGTTTACACTAACTCCATTTATTATAGCTCCTTGAACAATTTGCTTGCTTCAACTGCATTCATGTCTCTTTATGGATTGTTTTTCTTTGCATTTCTAGTATCTTTTTTGTGTTTTAGTAACTCCATCACCATGATTACTTCTTCATCTTCTCTTTCCTCTCAATTCATTCATTTTTCTTTCATACATTGTTTTGCAGTGTGGGGCTCATTCAGTTCTTTTTAGATGACCAAAATCATATCAGCACTGTACATTCATATTGGTCACTTACTTTTTTAATTTCATTTTCTCATCAGCTATTTTCTTTACCCTATTTCTTTCTTTCTTTCTTTCTTTCTTTCTTTCTTTCTTTCTTTCTTTCTTTCTTTCTTTCTTTCTTTCTTTCTTTCTTTCTTTCTTTCTTTCTTTCTCAGTAAGAAAGTTCATCTTCAATGCACTCCTCTGAATCTGTTCTCACCCATCAATCCTGGAAATGTAGTGCCTAGAATTGTACAGGTACAGCCTCACTAGTGCTGACTAAGAGAGAAATAAGTGTCTTTGGTGTGATGTTTGTTATACAGGCCAGAGCTGCATTAATTCTTCTAGTCTCATTCTTCTGATTCATGTTCAGCTTCTTGTCAATGAAGTTTGTTCTTTTCAGGTACACTGTTTCTGTAGAGAATAAAAGGGGTGAACTTTGATAGAAACTTGCAAACTATTATCTCGGCAAACTTTTCTGAAGTGTTCTTTAAGCGCTGAGAAATAAGATAATATTCCAAAGAAGCAGAATCATGTTAGACCTATCTTAATAAGTCTACCTAATTGGGCTAATAGTTTCCAAGCCATGAAAGTCACATCTTGAATACATAGATAGATGTCACTTGCCAACTCTCTTGTGCAGCAATTGTTCAAAGTTACAATAGTTGGAAAACACCCAACAACTTTGTAACCAGTCCTCACATTTATGACTGTCTCAGCATCCCACAGTCATAGGATCACCATTTGCATGCAAGGATAATTAAGGCAAATGGATTGTATACGTGAACCCTTCACAACAACATTTACAGTATATGTCTTAGAAGATTTCACTGGCCTGCTTGCCTGAGACTCCCACATCTTCCTATATTGCTGTGACATGAGGTCCTCACTTAACCACACACATTCTTGGGGTTACAATGGCACCAGGATTGCCATCCTCATGTTTTGCAACCACATCATTCAGTGACAGAAATTCTGGTCCTAATTGCCATTGTAACCTGAAGACTACTGTATGTCAATGTTGGTATATTTGTGTATGTGTGGGGAGGAGATGGAGGGTTTGCTTCTATGAGAACATTTTTGTGTAGGTTTTGTGGAGGAGGGGGGGAGGTGAAGGAGCAGAGATAAATGGCTCATCATTGAATTTGGATGCATTATCTGTAGACAATTATCCGAAGTCCAAAAGCCTTATAAAGGACACCAAAGATTATTTATACGTGTGCAAGGCAAGAGTAAAATCATAAGTTGTGATCACATGATTTTTCAGTTAGCAGCCAAGCTGCCATTTCCAGTCGAAGATTGTTTGTATAATACTTTACATTTCTCTTATTAAAGAACTTATTGCCCCAACATGTCCAGGTTATATTGTAATCTTGTTCTATCATTCTGGGTGTTTTTTTCAGACCTCTAAATTTTGTGACAGCTACACATGTTAAGTAGTTTATCAATGCTATCGTCCAAGTTGTTAAATAAAAATGTTGACTATACTGGCTGTCACAAATGATAATTTTTATTTTACTTTGTAAGGGAGAATTGGAAATTAACACAAAAGATAAACTGTACAAGAAAACTACTGCGAAACCACCTTCAAAGGGACCATCTCACTTACCTGATGACACAAAGCATACCAAAGTAGCTTCCACAAGAAATACTACAGAGATGGGAGTTAGTTTTGGTAACCCTATGAAAGCCAACACATTGCAAAATGTCAACAAGGTAATTTGATAATGAAAAATCCCTATAAAGATTATTATTTTAACGAACTACATAGGACTTGTTTTAGTTGGCAGTTGGTATCAAAGTATTTACTGATGTAGAAAAAAAATGTAGTGAATGAATAAATGGATAAGCATTTTCTTTTCCACATTTTCACAGGGAAAGGGAAGATATATTTAAATTAGTGTGGTTAATTTAAATTGAATAATGAGCTGAGCAGAAAGAATTACTAGGTTAGGGTATTCACCTTAATAAAGATATGCTTTTCTTAAGAAGAAAATTTTTGAAGACCTCTCTCATTGCAAAACTACCTGAAATCAAAAGGAGAAATTGTGAAAAAAGTACTTCACTCTAGGTTCCCTTCAGTTATCCTATTCTGATGTATAGCCTCATTCAGACGGATTCTTTCCTCTCTTGCCTTAAGGTGTTGAGTACCAATTTTAAAATAGTAGTGCTTCTTTTAAAGATGTGGCATTGCCTTCTCTTACTGTCAAATTGTACTGTTATAAACTCAAATTACAGGGAAGAATCAAAGTGAGCGGGCAACGAAGACCACCAACCAGAACTGCCAGGCGATTAGCTATTGAAGAACTTGACAAAAATGAAATAAATACTTCAGAGAACGCCTCTCTGCCTATCTTAAAAGGAAAGGCTGGACCACCAACTATATTATATAATAGTGAACTGCACAGAAATAAAAATACTGAAAAAGTTTGCTCGGTTCCATCAACCAACAGCAGCAACCAATCCAATGAGTCAAAATATAGCCCTCTTTTAAAACCAACAGCCTATTCTGATGCGAATGATCTCTTCGAGTCGGACAATCTTTTCACCAAGGATAACAATTCTAAAGCAGCCTTCAGACAAAAACCAACCCTGGAAACTGAAAGCATTGTAAGCCAGGTTTCAAAAAGTGAGGAGCTCTTTCCTGCTGCACAAGGGAGTACAAGTTGCGATGATCTCTTTCACTCTAGAAAGACATTAAAGAAATTAAGTCCTGTCCCTTTCCCGGAGGAAGAACAGGATGTCTTCATCACTAGTAAGAAAACTGTGAAGAGAAAAGAAGAGGAACTCACACCTCAGTTACATCAAAGCTTCCCAATCCATGACATTTTTGAGGTAATTTTGAAAGTTTTTCTCCTCAGACTTGGATTCTTCTGGTTTTGTATTGTGCTGTTTTTGTTTAATCCATAGGCATTAGTGCAGCGGTTCTCAACCTATGGGTCACGACCCCATTTTGGGTCGATTGACCATTTCACAGGGGTCGCCAAGCAAGGCTGTCCGCCATTTTTTTTCCCTTTTCCGGCGTGTGCCTTACCTCCCTTGAGCTGGGCCAGCTTGTGGTCGGCCTGCTGCGTCTCTGCCGCTTGCCAGCTACGCCTTGGCCGGCGCAGGGGGCGGAACCACGCATGCGCGGCGCTCCCGGGCAGGGAAAGTCCTCGACTTACGACCGGTTGGGTAGTCCTCGACTTATGACCGGTTTAGTCCTCGACGTACAACCGGTTTAGTCCTCGACTTACGACCGGTTGGGGGTCGCGGCATTAAAAAGGTTGAGAACCACTGCATTAGAGTGGTGGGGGAAGCAACTTGAGATGAATGCAATTTGTTTAAATGGTAACAAGAAAGTGAATAATAGATTTGGAATTTTTTATTTCATCAGCATTCTGATGATATTCTGACCCTCAGGATGCCTTTTCATAATGGCTTCATTAAATGTTAAAAAGTAGTTGAAGAGGGGGCATAACACAAAAGTAGCCACTGGTCCAATCATTCCCCTTCCCCGACTAGAATCACCCCAAGAAAGGTTCCAGTTGTGTTAAATCATTTTTTTAAAAAATCTCCAACCCTACAGTGCTTGAAACTGTCCTGAACAGGAAAAACATAATCTGCTTCTTCTAACCACATGTTAAATATTGTTTCCTAAAAAGGAAAGGTTAGAGATTATCAGAGTTGGATTCAAACAGGGCCTCTTGAGGGGGCATACTATAGTCTTCCCCAAGGCTGCAGATGTAAAGCCTTACCCAAAGCAAGGCATTGACAATCTCCTGAATCCAACTTGTCACGTCTCCACTACTCCCTGAAGGATCCAGGAAGGGCATTGGTCAAGCTTAAAAGTGGCAGAGATCATGTTAGATGTCCTGTCCACTTCCTCAAAATCCATAGGCCGAAAAGATTCCCAGTTAACAGTCAGATATACCTGCCATTCACTCATGAGAAATCAAGACTTATTGATAAATAGAAGCCTCCTATGGACTTTATGCATAAAAATGGGAAAAAATGAACTTGTGACATGCTTTTGATGATTAGATAGGATAAATTATAAAAAGAGGAGTAATATGATGTAATTTTCAAGAGGGAGGTTAAAATAAAGTTACTAACCCCTGCGAATAATTTTGGGAGCCCCTTCTTTATATCTTTACATACTATGTATGTAGAAAAGGGGCTTAGGAGAGCAAGAAGCAACAGATGGAAACTAATCAAGGAGAGAAGCAAGCTAGAACTAAGGAGAAACTTCCTGACAGTTAGAACAATTGATCAGTGGAACAACCTACCTCCAGAGAGCTACTTGTATTTGATTTTACAAGCACTAACCAGAGAAAACATATGCCTTCAAAGATCATTTTTATACTCAGTAGTCTTTTTCTTTATTCAAGGATGATATATTTGCAGTAGAAACTGTTAAGCTGCCAGACAAAGCAAAAGAGATGGAAGTCAATTTGTTTGATGATGATGTTGACATCTTTGCTGATCTTGCTGTAAAATCAAAGGAAAAGAGTACCAGAAAGAAGATGGAAGCTATATCTATATTTGACGAGGACACAGGTAAAAAACTAATATTTGTAGAAAGATCTGCAATTTACTGACAGATACATTTCTATAGAAACAGGTTGGGAAAGAATTAGGGAATGATTTTGCAAATAAAAAAAAAATACAAAACTGCCCGCTCATAGAATAAAGGCATTCCCTTGGATTGAGGAATGTCGGCATATTTAATATATTTCTTCAGATCCACAGAAGGATCATCCCTAATCCTATTTTGTTAGAAATATTGAACCTCAATAGGAAGAGATTATCTTCCATGAAGGAAGAGTAGGATATATGCCAAGAAAGAGGTGGAAAAACACTTGTGCTTCAGGAACTTAATGGGGCTTGCTGTCTTAATAAAACTGTATTGGTTCAAGGCAGATTCCACAGTGTATCTTTGAAATTCAGATTTTTGAAAATTCGTATTCTATCCAATGGGGAGTGTAATTATTGAGACTAGCAGTTGTTAAAGCATTTTCAGTTAAGTCAGAAAGCAACCATGGTAAGAATGACTACATCTCTGTACGTTGTCTTTCTTGGTATAGCTGGCTTCTGACTTGGTATGGTAGAGATTACACTAGGACAAATACTAGATTTGATTTTAAGTTAAGTTAGTATGATACACTTGACACATTTAAGAGTCGTACTTTTCTGTACATTAGAAATTAAAATTGGAGGCACTGTTTTGAAGGGGCTCTATACACTCCATTCAAGGCTTTTGAGTTTCCTGCACCATTGAGTTCTTTCATTTCAGTCAACACTAGAATTTCCTGTTTCTGTTATTTCAGACCTATCGCATGTTGTGAGCAATGCATTATTGATGTCTTTGCTAAGAATGTGCCTAGGATCCAGCAGACTTTTTTATCGATATCCTTCCCTGTACTCCTGTTAATATAAATGTAACTCATCATTTTCTAAAAAAAATTCTATGAAATAGTTTTGGTCATAAACAAGTACAGATTAACTGTTTTCTCCCTCTTTCTAGATGATATCTTTTCCCCTGCTAGTCAATCTAAGACATCAACAAAAAAGACCGTCTTTCAGTCAGTCTCAGGAAGTAAGCGTGAAGTTAGAACAGCAAGCACTTTTGACGACCCTCTCAATGCATTTCAAGGGCACTAATAAAGAGACTGCTGGCAAATGTATTTTCAACTTGTCACTGAATGTTTCCTTCATTTTCTGATCAAATACCTGACGTGACAAAACGGAATATTCCTGGACTCATTCACTTATCTATTTTACTCCATGTGACATTTTAAAAAAATATTATAAAAGCTATTTGAGCAAACAATAATTGTCCTAATCAGCTTGTTACTGGTAATGTAATATATATATATATATATATGTATAGTATAAATCAAAATTACAGAACATTTAATATCGATAAATGGCATTTACCTAATCAATATTTTCTGATCTGCTATATTGTAAGCAAACTCACTTTCTGGAATTACGTTTATGATTATAACTCATGATTATGAAAATCTGAATTATTTTGAGTATATCCTTGGTTACTGATAAAAATTATTTCCTTTTGCTGGAAGGGATGGGATAAGATGGCATGGAATTTTTCACTACCATATATACTTACAGATAAACCCTTCCTTCGATAAGGTAACCCTTTTTCTTTTTTTTTTTACCAAATTACACTTTAAAAAGGTGCCATCAATGAATAAGCCGTCCTATATTTTTCATGGTGTTTTGGTAAAAAAATTTAAGGTCTGCCTATCTGCAGATGGGTTTACATGCAAGTATATATGGGAAATATATGTACTTTAAAAAAGAATACTGTATACACTCACAGGTAAGCCAATTTGTGGATGAGCTGAACCCAATTTTTTAGGTGCATTTTGGCACTCAACATTCTTGGCTTATCTGCCAGTATGTACAGTATTAAAATATCTCTGGGGATTGCATAAAAATAACTGTCAAAAACAGAGAGTAATCACTGATTTTGCATCCCATCAGAGTTCTATTCGTGTTGAGTCTCAGTTTACCTTAATATAGTATCACCACCAGGCGGTGATAAAAATGCACATTTTGGGTTGAATGTCCACACCATTTATTGGATACTGTCTCATGTCAAGTACTATGCATTTTCTCCACTATTCAGTCTGTAAAAAAAAAAAAGCTGGGTATGTGCATTCAAATAGTTCTTTGAAAGTGTGATTTCTCGTTGGATTGGATGCAATGACAAAGCAGTTACACTGACTTACATCTGAAGTTCTTGCAGTTGTAGAAAACTGGGTCCATCTACATGTAACCCTAAATCCCACAATGTAGCATTTAACTTTATTCCTTAAATCCTTCCCTTGGGAGGACGAATAGTATAAAATAAAATTAATACATGCAAGTTATTGTATGACACTCTCTGATTCAATGAGGGCAAGTGGGGTGTGATGAGTGTCATAGCTACTGTCCTGGACCGAAACCCAGAGCATCCAGGAGTACATCAGTAAGACAGCACCCGAAGATGAACTGCTGAGATTAAGTGGAGGTGCCATGGCAAGACAAGACTCTACATGGGATGTACCATTGACAGATAGCTGAAGTGACAGACACTGGGAAACCACCTATCTAGCCGTATATGAAGAGAAACCTTATCTCTTTCAATATGTATATACCTAAATATTTTCGGTAGAAATATGGAATTAACTAATATTCCTTAAATGGATTGGTAACCAAATTTTCTCTTAATAGCATAAGTTCTGAATTGGATCACTTATAATAGAATATTTTGTTATTTTACTAAAGGCATCTATTATTTGTACCAACACTAGGATAGTACTATGAGGTATCATCCGCAAATAAAATCAATTTATATTCAAGTAAATTGCATACTACCCTGTAAATCTCCCAAAGTTGTCTAAAAGTACAAGCCAAGGGTTCCATGCAAGTATCAAAAAGCAAGGGCAAAAGTGGCATCCTTGCTTACTTCCTCTAAATAATAAGAAAGCAGCAGAAAACACACCATTAACCTTTATTTTAGATGTGTGCTAATCATATACCTTGATCCATTTTACAAATTTCAAAAAAAAATAAATCCAAACCTTTATTATACAGCAAACATGTACTGTGTATATTTTGCCAAAAGCTTTTTTAGGATCTAACAATAAGATTACAAGTTGGCTTTCATTTTTATTCAAGTCTATTATATCTATAATTAACCTAATGTTGTCTGGTGCTTGCCTATTTTTTTAAAGCCCCGTTCGATTATTCTTAATGAAATATCACTTGCCGTAATCTGCTAGCACTGCTATTAAGCTGTCTGTTTCAATATTAATCAAGATTGGATTAGTTTTACCTGCTTTTGGTATTACACATTACATTAATACTTTATATGTAACATTCACATGAATGATCCAACTATTTAGAACTCATACATAATTGTTTTCAAGATTTGTAAACTACCCAGTCAATCATATAGTAGCTGAAAGAGATCTGAATTAAATTATGAACTATTTTAGATTGTAAAAGTATATAGAAGAAAAAGAATGACATTGCCATAGGTCAGTGGTGGCGAACCTATGGCACGGGTGCCAGAGGCGGCACTCAGAGCCCTTTCTGTGGGCACACGTGCCATCGCCCCAGTCCTAGGCCTTCAACTGGGTTTTATAAAACATTTTCACTTTAGGTCTCCACCGCTGTGTGCAAAAAAAAAAAAAAAAGGTTCAATCAATCAGTCAATTTCAACTTCTTGCAGGAAAAAAAAATCTTGCAAAGTTGGAATTGATTGATTGATTGAACTTTTTAGTCCCACCCAGTCTGCCGTTACCACCGCAGCCACACTCACCCAATGGGCCACACCCACCCGGCACCCAACGATGCATAAGTGGATTTGGGGTTGCAGTTTGGGCACTCGGTCTCTAAAAGGTTCGCCATCACTGCCATAGGTGTATACTACAGACCAACCAGAAGAAATAGATTAACTTTTGCTAATCAGTTTGCTAAGGTATGCAGGAAGTAGACTACAACAGGGGACCCTGACATCAGCTGGGAGACAAACTCAAACAGTTTCCTGACAAACCTAGAGGACAACTTTGTCTCTCAAAAGGTATAGAAGAGAACTTGACGGCCAGCTGTACTGGAGTTAATTCTTACTGCTAGAGATAAAATAGTAGAAAGAGATAAAGTTGTGGGAACTTTGGAGGAGAATGACCATATCATATTGGAATTCAACATAAGGCAGATACAAGCTATAGAACAAAATCTAACTAGTGTCTTAGACTTTAAGGCAGCCGATTTCAATAAACTTAGAACTTGGGAAGGATTCCATGGATGAAAAATTAAAGGGGAAAACAACTCAAAAAATTTGGGAAGCTCAGAAAATGAGATAAAATAATAAAAGATAAAATAAAAGTCCAATACTGCTGAAAAAGAAAAGATCCCAAAAGAAATCAGCATGGCTCTCTGATAAACTGAAAGACAAAAAGAAGTATAAAAATTGGAAAATGGGACACATAACTAACTAAAAAAAAAGTACAAAAAAGTGAAAACTACAAAAAAGATGTTGAAACCATAAACAGTGTAGAGACGAGCAACAAAGATGATTAGGAAGTTGTAGGCTAAAACATAAGATGAACAGTTGCAGGTACTGGTTATGTCTAGAGTAACGAAGAGGACTAGGGGTGACATGATAGCAGTCTTCTAATATTTGAGGAAATGTCACAGAGAAAAGGTCAATCTATTCTCCAAAACACCTGAGGTAGTAAGGGTAGTAAGAAGTAAGGGTTGGAAACTTATTAAGGAGAGATCCAGCCTAAAACTAAAGAGAAATTTTCTGATAGTGAGAACAATTAACCAATGAAATGGCTTGCCTCCAAAAGTGGTTGTTCCACTGGAGGTTTTTAAAAAGAGATTGGACAGCCATTTGTTCAGAATGGTATAGGGTTCCCTGCTTCAGCAGGGGGTTGGATTAGAACAGGGGTCCCCAATCTGTGGGCCGCAGCCCTCTACTGGACCATGGCCTAATCGCCAACAGGCCATGTGAGTGGCCGGCCGGTGCACGTGCAATATAAGTATGAAGGCTGGCTATTTGGCATTTCAGCAGTCTTTCCCAAAGTGAATATTCTTTCCTCTGCATATGAAAAACTATTTTTCTTTAGATGACATTCTTTGGGATCTAAAGCTATGTGAAAAAAAATCATCTTATTTCAGACTTTGCTCCTGTAAAGACTGAAAGTCTCATTTAACAGTACATATGTTTTTTCAGATGTGTACTGAATATATATTTGTTGAATGAACAGTTTTATTAAACAGATAAAGCTTTTTTGTTTTTACAAAATGTGAGACTATCAAAGAACTAGGCTACTAAACTGAGTTTTACCCCCTTCTCTTAGAGAAATTGACTGCAATTAAATTTGCAAAAAAAGCAAAGGCTTCTGATGGCTTTCCAGCTGATTAGCAGAAGAGCAGGTTCTTGTCTCCTCTTCTATTGGAGTTATATTAAACCTTTTCAAGTATATTTTAGTTTCAGTTTATTTAAAACTGATAATGCACCCTCACCAACATAAGAATCTCTTAATAATGTTCCCTGATTATGTTTCCGGTTCTTTGTGTTGTTGTTGTTGTTAGTTGCGAAGTCGTGTCCGACCCATCGCCACCCCATGGACAATGTTCCTCCAGGTCTTCCTGTCCTCTACCATCTTCTGTCCGGTTCTTACGATTGTGTATACCAAAAGCTTATTAACTACAGCTTCTTTCAACTCTTCTGCATCCAATTAGGGCTATATTTGTGCATCTATCATTAGATGCTTGATATAATTTTTTCAACTAAAACTGGTAAAATTAATTCTTTGGTTGGAGATAGTGCTTTTGATATTATTTTTTGGAGCTGTTTGAAACAGGTACTCAATTTTTATGAGGTTCCTGACAGTTTCATTCTCTAAATTACCTAAAAGATTACCTGAAACTCTTAAACCACATACAGTATGTTATCAAAATTTACAATGCTAAGTGAGACAGTTAAGTGAGTTTTGCTCCATTTTATGACCTTTCTTGCCACACTTGTTAAGTGAATCATTGCAGTTGTTAAGTTAGTAACACAGTTATTAAGTGAATCTGGCCTCCCCATTGTCTTCGCCTTTGTCAGGTCGCAAAAGGTGATCACATGACCCTGGGACACTGCAACTATGATAAATGTGAGCCAACTGCCAAGCATCTGAATTTTGAGCCAACTGCCAAGCATCCGAATTTTGATCCATGACCATGGAAATGCTGCAACAGTGACATTGTAACTCAAACAAAAGGCTGTAAGTTGAGGACTACCTGTATTCTATTAAAATTCTGAAGATATAAAAAGCTTCACATTAATATTCTGGATAAGATAATCAATATTAGATCATTTCTGATCTTCTGCTAATAGATGTCTGCTATCTGCTTATACATTTGAGAAATGCAATTTATACATTTGGTAACAAATTTGAGATACTGTAATACATATTGGAGTTTTAAGTTATGAACATTCTTAAAATTGAACATTTTAAGATTACTGTTTTCACACAACATATAAGATGTTCTATATCATCTGAGATAATGGGTACATTCTTTTTACAAGATTCAGTCGTTATTTTTTATGTATTCAGTTTCAATTTTCACTTTATCTGATAACTTTAGAAAGTGCCCCACACGCTGCTGTCTATAAGATTCCCCTGCCACTTCTGGATTCAGTTTGCAAAGCGAAGGAGGGTCTCATGCACATCTGCTGGAACTCTCCGGGAATCCATGCGGAGGTATCATTGAGGTATTTTGGGTGCTGGCAGCTGCAAGGGGAAAAAAAAGAAGTAACTGAGAAAAAACAGATGAGGGTCCGGAGAGATGTATGGAAAAGCCTTTAAAAATCGACGAGCCATCCGGGCAGGTAAATTGGTGGTCTCCATCTGTGCAGGCATGAGGTCTTGAGACCATCTTATAGACCACTATAAAAAAGATGTTGAGACTATAAAAAAGATGTTGAGACTCTAGGAAAAAGTGCAGAGAAGAGCAACAAAGATGATTAAGGGACTGGAGGCTAAAACACGAAGAACGGTTGCAAGAACCGTGCATGGCTGGTCTAGGAAAGAGAAGGATCAGGGGTGACATGATAGCAGTGTTCCAATATTTGAGGGACTGTTATATAGGAATCTATTTTCCAAAGCACTGGAAGGCCAGACAAGGGACAATGGATGGAAACTGGTCAAGGAGAGATTCAACCTAGAAATGAGAAATTTCCTGACACAACAATAAACCAGTGGAACGGCTTGCCTTCAGACGTTGTGGGTGCTCCATCACTGGAGGCTTTTAAGAGACTGGACAGCCATTTGTCAGAAATGGCTATAGGGCAGCAGACCCCAAGCTTTTGGGCATCAGGGACCAGTTTCGTGGAGAAAGGTTTTTCCGTGGGCCAGAGGGAGCGTGGTTTTGTGTGCCGCCTGCATCCCGTGGACGGGGCTTCGCTTGTTTGCGTGGACCGGTTGCTGGCATGCTGCAGATCGGTGTCGTTTCACGAACCGGAGATTGGGGACTCCTTGGTATAAGGCAGGGGTAGGCAACCTCGGCTCTTTTATGACTCGTGGACTTCAACTCCCAGAATTCCTGAGTCAGCTATGCTGACTCAGGAATTCTGGGAGTTGAAGTCCACGAGTCATAAAAGAGCCGAGGTTGCCTACCCCTGGTATAGGGTCTCCTGTTTAAGCAGGGTTAGACTAGATAACCTCCAAGATCCCTTCCAACTCCGGTATTCTGCATTCACGTGAGGATTACCGACGAACAAATGAAGGGTAAAAGGCATCCCAGGCCTTTGAAGGGGGGGCGGGAGGGGGGACCTCAAGACCCTGGCGAAGCGTCGCCGCAGCCGAGCCGCCAAAGGCCACAGAGTTGCCCTTTCCCGCCAGTTTCCGAGCCGGGCCAGGATTGGAGTCCCGTTCCTAAGCAACCGGGCTCGCACGTTTATTGCGTCACAAAGGGAGGGAGGACGGGCAAGCGCCGCCCCTTCGCCGCCGGGCGGAGGGAACGGGCGCTCCCGCGCGGCTGAATGCCTTTCGCTCGCGAGCGTCTTCTCCGCTCCATGGCTGCCTCAGCGGCTCCGTGAAGGGGGAGGCGACGCGTCAGCCCCTCCCGCCCGTCCCGCAGGGCCCTGCGTGGCGGGGAAACGGCAGGTGAGGAGGACGGGTCTCCCCCACCTGGCCGCCTCTGGGGACGCAGGCGCGGTTGCGCGCGCGCCCGCCCGTTGTCCTCTCTTCTGTCAGCGTTCCCCGGTAGCCGTCATGGCCGTCGGCTTCAAACGGAGGCTCCGTAGCGGGGCCTGTGATCTGCCTGGCCTGGGAGTCAACGAGGGAAGCTGCTTTCTTCCCTTTGGGGGGGCGAGCGGTGGCTGGAGGTCGAGAGGGCCCGCTGGCAAGACCCGGGCCGGAACTGGCCCGCAGAGCCCAGCCCAGTAAAGGGACAGTTAGTTAGTTCCCGGAAGAAGACACCTTCGGTGCTTCCATCTTGAGGGCATTGTGTTTCTGGCGTCCTCTTTAGTTTCCTGGGTTTCGGGACTCTTTCCCGCCCAGACCGTAAGGACGGGCAAACGGGCAAAAACTAGCAAGCTTTGGTTTCCCAATCCTGTGGGAAAGGCGAGTTGCCGGCTTGGCTGTGTTTGTCCAAATGGGTTTAAAATAGCATTGGGGCTCTTTATCAAGAAGGCTCTACTAATCCTGCACCTTAGCCTGTCCTCTGTGTTGTAGATGGGAGAGTGGAGGTTGAGTAGTTGAGTGAATTTGAATTTGAATTTTATTAAATTTATACCCCGCCCTTCTCCCGGAGGACTCAGGGCGGCTTACAGCCAGTTTAAAACAATAATACAATACAATACAAAATTTAAGAAAATGATTAAAAATAAATATTTAAATAGGCCGCTTCTACTAAAATTTAGTTAAAAACTTGCCCTGGGTTTTTTTTTCCCCATAGTTGTGTGCACTCAAACATTACAGCTTAATTTCCTTTATTTTTTTTCCCAGTGTGGCATATAGTGATTTATTAGAGATAAAGAATATAAGTAACTTAATAATGCACAGGGTATATCTGCATGGCTATGCACGGTGGAGGGCACAAGGATCATTTTGACACAACTGTTAGGATGTCAGGGTTCATCAAAAAAAGCGGGAAACCTATATTAAGGCAGATCCCAGTAACTTATCCACTTCTTTGGTTCTATGGAAGTAATAGCAGTTTTCTATTAACTTGAAATGCTTGTGAAATCACATATGTGATTTCCCAGAGTGCTTAGCATGAGATCCATCAGCAAGACCAAATAGGCAGCTGTAGCTCAGTAACTGAATTCTGGTTGTGTTTCAAACATTTTAGTGAAGTTCTGCATCTTATTTTGCAATAAGAGCTTTTGCAAGAACACACAGAAAACAAGTTAGTGCCATTCAGCATCAGTAGAATATTCTGAGTACACAGCTGGCAGGAGTACAAACATGGTAATAGTAGTAGGTTCACATAATAGTTTTATATATTCTGTAGCTGTCGAATTGCCAATTGTAATGGATCATTATAGCACACTTGATCTTTTATTATTTTCATTGCTTGGGAATTGGCTGTTGACATTAATGGAAATGCTTTTCTCTGTCGGCTTGTTTTCCCTGGAACAGTATTCTAATCTTCCAAATTTATAAGTTCTTCATAGATGTAGGAATTTGGGGATAGAAAATGTTTTTAAGATATCTTATTACAAATCTGATTTCTGTTGACTTCAGTTTCTCAATCATTAGTATAATGAAGATTTCCATCTACTTGCTTGCACCAAAGTGGTCTTTTTGTAAGGAAAATCTTAACTATCTTTCTTCAGTGAGACTTATTTTATTTCCATGCAAAGAATTGCTCTGAATCGGAACATAAATGTAAGGAATATAAATCCTTCCATTCCCCACCATTCAGCCCGAACTGAAGAAGCTTCTTGGATGAGAAGCAAAATGTTTTCAAGGAAAAAAAACCCACTAAGAAAGTAGCCTTTTGAAAACCATCTTTGACACAACCATGACCTGGATGATTGACAATCTCCATAGACAATGGCTCTGAATTTTAAAATTTAGTGTACTCTTTCTGTTATAAACGATAATACAGTGAAAGAAGTCATTTATTTACAGGTATTTACATTTTTTGCCTTTAAATATGTACTTCTGTGTGAAAAAAAAGAGAATGAAATTTGTTTTCTTGGTTTAGTAGTTACTAAAGAATGATTTAATAGATGTTAATATTATTTCCTAAATGTTGTGACAACAGATCTTGTATCATCTTGAACCATGAAAAAAAGTATAATGTTTCCTGTTTAGACCTGACTTGAGATAAAATTGAGATATAACACCCAACTGATTTTTTTTCACAAGGAATACTAGAATGGCCAGCAAGAAGGAACCCCCTTTCTTCAATGAGGATAATGTTGGATCATGTCATTGCAAACTTACTTTCTATGAGACCATGGAGCTCTTCATTGAAACTCTTACAGGAACATGCTTTGAATTGCGAGTGTCTCCTTTCGAAACAGTTATTTCTGTGAAAGCTAAAATCCAGAGGCTGGAAGGTACATCTTTTTATATCAGGATTTAGTTTTCAAATTTGAAAGTTCAGATATTTTAGAGGGAATACCAACAAAATTAAATGTCTGCTCAAAAATTTGAACGTAACATTTTTTATTTGTATTGAGCTCCTAGAAGTAAACTTGGATGGAAATGTAACAAATATATAATTGGTTGAATCAAAATATCAGTAGAAATACAAAAATATTTGTATGTTTATAAAAGCTCAAATTATAATAAAATTTGTCAAATCAATATGAGGTAAGGATGATGAATGACTGTTCTGTGTAGGATACCTTTAGCAAACACAGATGGTCCTCATTTAATGATGACAATTGAGACCAGCAACTTGGTTGCTAAGTGATGCAGTGGCTAAAGCAAATCGTGTGAGCACAGCTATACTTACAAATTTATTTCAGTTTTCCTCTTTCGCCCCCAACCTTTTGGATACTCATTGGGATAATTAGCAAAAAGGGAAATAATGTTTGTATTTAGATTCATTGGAGAGAAAGGGAATACAACATCATAAGCAGGCACATGGTAGGAAATACAAATCCAAAGGAATATTCTAGCATCAGCGTGCTTGAAGCTTTCAATCTCGAGCACACTAGGCAAACAGCCAGACTAGCACATTCATTTCAGTGTGTATCAGTGTGTACCTGATTGTGTATCTGCTTACTATCTTATAATCTCTATCCAACCTCTCTGTTCTGGGAGGGGAGGGGAGAAAAAACAGATCAGGCCCAGTATATGTACAAATTAATGGCAGATATGTGAGTGTGCACCTTGTTGCAAAGTTATTTTTTCAGCATCATTATAACTTTGGTCTCTGCAAAAAGCAGTTGATAAGTCCATCTATAATGTTTCTTCTTCAAATAGCATTCTCAAAAACGTTCTTGCAATGGATCATATTTCATTTTTGAAGCTTCACCTTTCATGAAATGTGAGATAATATAATGAAAATGAACTACATTCCAGTATTCCATCATAGTGAGGCACTTGTTATGGCCATAGTGTTATAAATAGCTAATACAGAGCACGTTTTATTTTATTTCTATGTTTTATTCATTGCATTAGGTCAATTTTTGAGGGGGCTTCATGGCAGAGTCACTTAGCGATAGAGTTCCCAGTTTCAATGGGTTGTTACCGAAGAGCTACCTGTATATTATGTCTACAGAATTCCACAGTACATCAGAAAATTAACGAAGAAATGCAGATAGTCCTCAAGTTCCAGTCATTCATTCAGTGACTGTTTGGAATTATTACACTGGTGGTTAACAAAGGGACTGATGAGCAGCCCTTGAAGTTCCAGTTGTTGCATGCCCCCACAGTCACATGAACAATATTTGAGTGCTTGGCAACCAGCTGGCAGTTATGATTGGTTGCAGCATCCTACAGTCACATGATTGCTGTTGCTGATTTTCTATGCCAGTTTCCCATTAGCAAAGATAATGGGAAGCCGACATGGAAATGTGACAAATTGCCCAGGTAAGTGTATCCTCTGCCGCCCATTCTTTTTTCGCACGCACTGCGCCCCTCATTACATGCACCAGCACCCTCTTTCCTCCTTTGCATGCTCACACCCACCAGTAGCCTCCTTCCTAGCCTCCCTGCACCCACACACAGGCATGCATCGCCAGCACCTTCCTTCCCTGTCCCTCCCTGCATTCACACATAGGCACTCCAGCACCCTCTTTCCCCAGCTTCTTTGATCTTGTGTTGCATTGTAACACACACACACACACATCAATTTGTTGCATAACCTACATTGAGACACTCGGAGTCTCTCTCACTCTTCTGTGCATCCTCACACTTTATCTGGGACTCCCTCTGTTTCTCCCTTAATATCTTACGTTTCTTAAGGTTACAACAACAAAAAGGACTGCCTGGACTGTATTGCTAAACAATGTGGCCACATGAAGTCACACTTTATGATTGTATCGCTTATCCCAGTACTAATTTTTATTACAACTCGAGGACTGCTTGTAAAGATACTGTTCTATTTTCTACTTTAGATTTTGTAGAGAGTAGGATCTTAATTCCCTGGATCCTATTTTTATCCTTTTAAATATAGGGACAGTTTTGGGTCATCTGCCACTTCCCTAGTTGTTCGCTATTTCTCAGAGATAAGGATTCAGCAAGTGCCGTTAGTATCCTAATATGCAAAATAAGTATTATTCCATGGGTTACTATCATTCTCAAGCATCAGTCATGTCTTTTCACCTTTTTTTAATAATTGCTTTTTGCAGCCTGTTGGACAGCTAGTAAACTGATTGCTGTTCTTTTATTTTCAACATATCCAAACTTATCCAAAGAAATTTCTTAGTATTTTTCATCCATACCAACTCATTGTCAGCTTTAGCTCTCCTTTGTAAAGAATTGAAAGCTTTGCAGTGACATTGAAATACAACATTTCTACTTTCTTATCAGTGAGAAAGGAAGTTAGAAAACAGCAGTGGTCAAGCAAATACGACAGTAAATGAATTATATAACAATCTTGGATTTATGATAGTTCTCTTAAGTATCATTCTCATGTAATTAAATGAAAGCAGAATAAAATTCTGGTATTTTGCAAACTTCATTAAATGAGGAGAAGCATTACTGCATTTTCTCTCAGAATACCACATGTTGACCATAAACCTGATCACTGTCTTCATGCCTTACTTACAAGCTGCATGTTGTTGCAAATACAATCACTAAGGACTAATTTAATAAGTCCTTACTTAGGGTTAAGATGGATTATTCTGACTTGGAAAATTTATCTTCAAATCCTTAATTCGTAGTGAATTTTGCAAAGTATCTTATAATGCCTTTCAACCTAATCCACTTCATGGAACTACAAGGATAAAATGAAAGGAACAATCATATGTACTATTTTGAGCAAATTGAGGAATTGTAGGGCAGTAGTCAATGAAATTAACCCTGATGTTGGTGAGGTAATATAAGATTGTTGTTACTTCTTACTACTAATCAACTGGTATTAACTGCCTTACTTAAAGGCAGTTTTTACTATTTGGATTTAATCCTGGCACTAAAAATAAGGAGTTTAAGTCTGGGGTGTTTTGCATGATACAAATTTAAATCATATTTTTTATTTAGAGTGTGTTAATTTCAAAGGAATATATATCCAAGTAAATAACTATTTTAGTAATTTTAGTCATAGTTTTACAAAGTAATTAAATACATTCAATTTTAATAATATTTCAAGGTATCCCTGTATCTCAGCAGCATTTAATCTGGAATAATGTGGAGTTGGAGGATGACTATTCTTTGAATGATTACCAGTGAGTATTCAAATGTAATTAATCACTGTTTTTGAATATTTCTTGATTATATTAAAAAAGAGTTGGAAGGGATTTTGGAGGTGTTCTAATCCAATCCCCTGCCCAAGGAGGAGACCCTATGCCATTTTGGACAAGTGGCTGTCCACTCTCTTCTTAAAAACCTCCAGTGATGGAGCACCCACAACTTCTGGGGGCAAGCCATTCCACTGATTAATTGTTCTCACAAATAGGAAATGTCTCCTTAGTTCTAAGTTGGATCTTTCTCTGTGATAACTTTCCATCTGTTATTTCTTGTCTTGCCTTCAGGTGCTTTAGAGAATAAGTTGTCCCCCTCTTCTCTGTGACAGCCTCTCAGATATTGGAAGACTGCTATCATGTCACACCAAGTCCTTCTCTTTGTTAGATTAGACATACCCAGTTTCTGCAACTGTTCATCCTATGTTTTAACCTCCAGACTCCTAATAATCATTTCTCTGCACTCTTCCTAGAAGAAAAGTTTACAAAATATGTCTGATTGATTGTTTACAGCATTTCAGAAGGATGTACTTTGAAGCTGATCTTAGCAATGCGTGGTGGACCTATTAATACAAAAAGAGGTAGGCCTTTTTTATATTTAATGTTTGTGTATTTATAGAGAGCGTAAACTAAAATTATACTTATCATTTCCTTAATGAATGGGAAGAGGTTAGGGCTACTATATGAATTATTTCTCCTTCTGTTTTAATTTAATAACATACTACGCACTGTAGAGGTAGTTCTCATTTAGCTACCACATTTGGGACCAGCAACTTGGTCAATTAGCAATGGTCATTAAGTGAAAAAACCACGGCAGTACTTATGGTTTTACTTTAGATTTCCTTTGTTTTACAGTGCCAGAAGGACACAACTTCAAATAGATGGGTAAGCCCAAACTGCGGGAAAGGTTTTCAGAACTTGAGGAAGCCGGGTAAAAGGCAAATCTTATTAGCCTTTTTCCCCTGTTCCCTCAGGCTTTGGAATGTTTACCCCAGCACTGGGATAATTAGAATAAGAAAATTATGTTTGTATTTACCTTAATTGGAGAGGAAGGGATTTCAAGAGAGAAGCAGGCACACTGTAGGGAATACAATTTCTAAAGGAATGCCTAATCTAAATAAGTTGCAACTTCTAAATTATAAAAAAAAACATTGGTAGAGCACATTATGTTTCATCATAAATATTACAGCTCTGGTGAATTTCAAAATAACTAATTCAGCAAATATAAAAATCTGTTCTCTCTGTCAGCCCTTCAAGATAGACAAGAATAGAAAAATCAAGGTTCTGAATGCTATTACTGCTTTTATTTTATTTTTTAGGATTACAGTAATAGAATCTTGAAAGCCTGAAAGTGCCTCTCCCCCCCCCCTTTATTTTTAAGAAAACTAGGGAAGGTTATTTCTGAAATAATTTCTTAAATTGCAATTTTGTTTTGGACTTATATTTTTTTCTGACCATTGTCTTGGTTGCAGCTCTTCCTCCTCTTCCTCAAGGTTATTCTTACAGCCCATTTGATCCTCTGGATCTGGTTTAGTTCTATGCTAAAGATTTCACACCATCTGTCTGAAACTGCTGAGAAAGTGTTATACTGTAGTGAACATTAATGAAATATTATATCTCATCAAGACTGATAGGAGAAAATAGTACAGGTAGTCCTTACTTAATGACTGGTCACTTAGTGACTATTAAAGTTACAACTGTACCACAGCCACTTTGTTTTCAAAGTTCAAGTGGCTGCAAACACACACACACACACACACACACACACACACACACACACACAGAGAGAGAGAGAGAGAGAGAGAGAGAGAGAGAGAGGTCACATGATCTCAGTCACCCAACATTGATTTTTGCCATTGTTTGCATATTTCTGGTGTATACTTCTGGCAAAAAACCCCCCACCCATTAGGGAAAAATGTTTGCTTAACCACCACCACCACCACCACCACAAAAATAGCTGTAAAATCAAGCATAGTCACATATTGATCCGCTTAATGGCTCAGTTTTACAATTGTAAGTCAAGGACTACTTATACACAATTTTGCCACATGTGGTTTGTGGTTTATTGTACATCAGACAGACTTGGAGAAAATACCAGGTTCTGAACTAACACTTTTCCAGAGAGTTATGCAATTATGGAAAGGGTGTTGTTGTTTTGGTCTATACCTGAGACCTTATATGATGATGCTTTTGAGGTTAATGATTTTCCTAATATAAAAAGGAAACATTAACTTTTGTAAAGCTGTAGAAAAATTTGTTGATGTTCAACAAACTAAAGCCAGATTTATTTCTATTTTAAAACAGGGTTTTGTGACAAAATTTGGTAAGATTTATTTAATAAGGTTGCTTAATGTTTTACTTGGTTCATTAGAAACAGTCGTTTCTATAAATATGTCTTTCATTTCAGCATTTAGATGAAAACATACTCCATTTCAAACCATCATTTTCTTCATGTTCCTTTTCTTGGTAGTTCCGTTGGAAGATCCAATTAAGGAAATAGCAGAATACATGGGTCCCTGTCGAGATGATGTCTGGGAAAAGGTTCCATCCAGTAAACATGTTACATTCTTGGTATACCAGGAAGGAGACCAGTTGAATTTTTTTCGGGTTGTGGACAGGGGAGATGGAACTTTAACACCATTATCTGAATCTTTAAAGTATGTTATTTGTAATCTTAAGGATTTTCAAATATTATTGAAAACTCTGAGCAGATTTACAATTAAGTCAGGTTCCTGTGCATTCTATTCCTGGAAGAGTTTTCAGTTATGTTTTCTGAAAAGTAAAACAGCTTCTCCAAGAGCATTACATGTTTATCTAAAAAAAAATAGTAGTAAAAGCATAATATGAACTGAACAAAACAAGATACATAATAATGAATAAAAATGTTGCTATTATAAATGAGAGATTAAGCACATTATGGCAGAAAATCTATTGGACAGAGTAAAACTTAAGACATTTGCTGGCGTATTAAATTTAGTAGAGGGTATGGTATTTATTAAGTGTATGATCTTGGCATGAAAAATACAGGTAGTCCTCAACTTATGACCAAAATTGAGTTCAAAATTTCTGTTGCTAAGTGAGACACTTGTTAAGTGAATTTTGCCCATTTTACGACCTTTCTTGCCACAGTTGTTCAGTGAATCACTGCAGTTGATAAGTTAGTAACACGGTTGTCTGGCTTCCCCATTGACTTTGCTTGTAAAAAGGTCGCAACAGGTGATCACATGATCTTGGGACACAGCAACGGTCACAAGTATGAGTCAGTTGCCAAGCATTTTGATCACATGACCATGGGGATGCTTCAAAGGTCTTAAGTGTGAAAAATGGTCATAAATCACTTTTTTCAGTGCCCTTGTAACTTTGAACGGTCACTAAATGAAGTGTTGTAAAGTCAAGGATTACCTGCAATGATAGATTGACTGGCAATAAGAAAAATAGAAGAAAAATGCAATGCAGAATTATAGTTAAAACATAAAATAAGAATTCAAACAATAAATAAAGTATGTAAATATAAGAAGAATATAGGTAGTCCTTGTTTAATAACCATCACCAGTTTAAACTTACAACAGTGCTGAACAAAGGGTACTTATGACTGGTTCTTGAAGCAGCACCCCCACAGTCACAGTGATCGCAATCCCAAGTGCTCAGCATCCTGTGGTCACAGGATCACAATTTGAAACCTTATCTACCAGATTCCCACAAGCAAAGTCAGTGGAGAAGCCAGGAGGAAGTGGGAATGACTTACGGTGATTCACTTAATGACAATAACCAGATACTGCTGGAACTGCCATTGCTAAGCAGCTCAATCATATGTTTAGCTGGTCCCAATTAGCATTGTTAGGATGAGAACTATCTCTTATATTATTAAACCTTGCTTAATGTCATCTTAAAAGCTAAAATCCCATAGGAATAAAAATATTTTTACCCGCTGATGAACATGTATTCTCAAAAATCGTTTAATGCCAATTGTTAACAATATCTGGTACTGGTTGATTTTTAGTATATTTGTATTGACTAAATACTAAATAATTGAGATTCAAAGAAATGACTAAAGAGTTTTAAAGATCACCCAATAATTTTACACTGATTATAAAATGCATTAAAGTTGTTATTAAATAAGAGAAATTGACTTTTCAAAATATACAGTAATGATCTCATGGGATAATGGGAGCCCGTGGGGTGGTTTTTTTTTTTTTTTGCATATACAGGTAGTCCTTGACTTACAACAGTTCATTTAGTGACCGTTCAAAATTACAACGGCACTGAAAAAGGAACTTATGACCATTTTTCACACTTACGACCATTGTAGCATGCCTATGGTTATATGATCAAAATTCAGACGCTTGCAACTAACTCATATTTATGACGGCTGTAGTGTCGCAGGGTCATGTGATCATCCTTTGCAACATTCTTACAAGCAACTCAGTCATTAAGCAGAGCAGTTACTAAGTGAAAACATCACTTGAGTGCAACTGTGCTTATGATTTTACATAGGATAATGCATATAACTGACTGTAATGGTGAATATATGACTGAGAGACAGATGTTGCAAAGGTGATAAATGGGGACATTGGTCACAAAGTTACTCTTCAAACAGTTATTGCCCAAGGCAGTCATTAAGCAAGGACTAGCTGTACGAATTAGTCATCTTAACAAAGACTGATAAGGACTGACAAAATGACAGGAAGGGAATTCAAAAGTAATTTTAAAAAGTATTACTTCATAGAAAGAGTAGTGGAATCTTGGAACCAACTTCCAACAGAGGTAGTGGGTCAATCATCAGTCCATCATCTGAAAAAATATATATAAAATACAAAAATAATAATTAAAAAATAATAAATGAAAAGAAAACAAAAAATAAATAAATTCAAAGGGCAGACTCGATGGACCACTAGGTCAATTCTGACTTACAAAATGTTAACATGTACAGTACTAGACCACATCTGAATTTTCTCTTCACCACAGTGGTGGTTCAGTTTATAATTTGTATGCTGATGATGATGAAGATACAGAAATATCTCCTTCCGGGCAACAGATTATTGAGAACTCCATTACAATGAATAAAATGAAGCTGCTCAAGGCAAAGATGGAAAACATGAACCTTAATAAAAAGGTAAAGCCATAAAATATAAGATCATCTGATATCAGTAAAGAACAATTACAAACCTTTCTAAATAACTTGTTCCATAACAGATATTACTCAATATATAGCATAATATCCAAAATTAATTTATATTAGCTGTGCGCAATTCATGTGCTACATTTTACCGATATAATGTACTTTTCCTAAAAAAATCATGAATGTGTCATGAAATTACCATGTGTCAGGAAGCTATCATTTTTAGCCTTAATCATCAGCTATCATTTTTAGCCTAAAGCAGGGGTTCCCAACCGGGGGTGCTTGCACCCCCTGGGAGTGCGAGACAATATTCCGGGGGGTGCGAAAACTTGGGTTTTCAAAATTATAGTGTATATGCATAATTCGTTGCTGTTATTTTGAATTTTTGTAAGGGGTGCGAGAATATATCAGAAGCATTCTAGGGGTGCAGGGTATAGAAAAGGTTGAGAGCTGCTGACCTAAAGAATACTAAATATTGTGATATTTTCATCATTCTAATCCAGAGTTTTTCGAATTGATCTATAGGGCCATTTGGATCTATGTAAGAAGCCAACAACAAAAAATAGTTTACTTGAAATCAGTCTGTTTTCTACACTAGAGGTTTGCCTTTTGATCCAGATTTTTTTTTTTTACCAAATAGATTCAACAGCCTGAAAAATTTTGAAAATCCCTGTCCTAATTGGATAGGGATTACTGATTAGAATTGTTGTTTGTCCATCGATTTCGATGAAGATGAAGACCTTGACATCTTATGGATTATGGGCCATCAGCGGTGTGTCCGTAGATGGCTGATGAGACCGATGTTAGCACGGAATGTTCTGCCACATACTGAACAGAGAAATGTGGACACTATTGCTTCAGCATTTGCAGCTCTGGCTTTACGGAGTGCTCGCTTCTCTTGTGCCAAGATTGTCCTTCTGTGTTCATATGNCGCTTTCCTTGAGACAGCTCACCATAGAAGAGCTGTTTAGGGATGCGATGGTCTGGCATCCTTACAACGTGGCCTGCCCAGCGCATCTGGGCTTTCATCAACAGAGTGTAAACTGATGATAGGCCTGCTCTGGAGAGGACATCTGTATCTGGTATCTTATCCTGCCACCGGATCCTCAGAATTCTGCAAAGGCAAGTCAGAATTCGCAGAATTCTGAGGATCCAGTGGCAGGATAAGATACCAGAATACTGATTAGAATTACTATTGAAAGGAAAGCAAGTTGGTTTTTTGAGTCTGGATATTAAGTAATATTTAAGTATAATGAAATTCCTCAAATTGAAATATAAAAGAGCGTTAATGCTTCGGTGCAAAACTGATGAACAAATACATTGGGGTTCTGTAGTTGCGCTATAGTTAAAACTAACCCCTTTTCCTTTTCCCCCCACAGCCTAAGATCAAAATGAATCCCCATTCTCCAGTGGTTCTTCATCCATCTAGTGGCTCGCTTGCAGCTGTTCGTCATAATTTTCTACGAGCACTTCCTCATATTGGGCAATCCTGTCTGCCTCCTGAAAATTTACATAAGTCAGGAATATCTCAGAATGCTTTTTCAGCCTTAGCACATACTGGTAAAAAAGTTACTAGAAACTTTCTTAAAGAAAATGACAAATGGGAGAGTATTTCACCATCTCAGTCAATTAACAGCTCGACACTGCCTTCAAAAGTATCATGTGTGGACAAGGGAGAGGCCAAACTTTCTGAAAACCATTTGGTTCCTCAAGTGACAACTGCACTTGCAAATTTGGAAAAAAATGCAGAAAATGGTACATCGTCCAATGAAAGATGTCCTTTCTTGTATCCAGATCTCACAAATGTAAATCTGTATACTGCAGAAAAAAATGTTCTACCGCACAAAGAGACTCTTGCCTCGGTATCAGAAGAAACTTGTAATGACTCACATAGCAAAATATCTGGAACAGAAGAAGGAAATACCACACTTCAGTTACCGCAGGAGCATCAAAACAAATCCATCACAAAAACTTTTGCAACAGCAGAAAATAGTATTTTTAACTCTCACGAGTTTAGTCTCAAGAAAACACGCCTGTCACCTCTTCATTGTTCATCACAGATGGCGCATTACAGTCCTCAGAAATCTCAAGCTCACGCCAAATATTTTGAAGAAGCTGGCTTGAGGCCTACTATTTCTCCAAACATTCTGCAGTCGTTGGAGGTGAACAGTTTAGCAGATTCCTCTTACTCAAGAACATCTAGATTTCATGGCATTGGTTTAGATTTACCTACCAAAAGGCCTGATACCCATTCTAAAGTGGAGGCAAGGGATATCACAGAAGTAGCAATTAAGGCTTCCAAAGACCCTGTTTCTGTAAATAACATAAGTTTGTTAAGTTCATTTACCCGAAGCACAAATAGAGATGGCTTACAGAATTCTTGTGGCACAAACAGGTTTCGGACTCCTGGTATTTCATTAACTACCAACTTTCAACATTTTCAAGAAGAAAGTTTTAGAACGGCTTCTCCTCACAATGACATGCCTGGATATTTTTTAGTAAGTACTCATGCTTTATTTTTTTACAAAGGTGAGATTTGTACTTGCAATAGGGTTTACTCTCTATTGGTCAAGAATCAAAATTGGCTACTTGTCAAATTGGAAAATCTCAATGTACAGTATATCAATATTATTTAAATAAGCTTGAATTTTGGCTTTCAGAATTGAAAAGTTACCATTCAATAAATGTTCCATTCTTGGATGTGTTAGATTTTTTTTAAACAAGGGCCATTTTTCTGAGGCAGATTTACTCATGTTTTATTTTCACAGATTTGTAAATTATGTTTGGTTTTCTAGTAAATAGCTTACTCTGAAGTTACTATATAAATATTCCTTCCCTTAGAAAAATGGTAATACATTTCCAAAACGATTGAGACAGCCAGTTTCAAAGTTGTATTAGAACAGTCTCTCTATACATGTATTCAAAGTGTTTTACATTCAAATGTTTTGTGTATATTCATTAACTTTTGAGTTTTATATTTTTACGTTTGATAAAATGTTCTGTATATTTATCCTATATTTAGCCAATTCTGAACAGCTTGTCTCACTCATGTTTCATGAGGTTGAAAGATTTGGCATTTACTTCCAAATTATAAATGAGATAAACAGACGTTCTTCATATGTCATTTAGTAACAATTTCCAGATAATGCTCTCTCACACCTTGAGGGGAAAGATGAAGAAGAAGCACAAATCTGTTTTTTCTTCATATATAATCTGACCTTAGAATTGGATGGAAGAATCCTTTTACAGAACCTATTCATATGTTTTCTATTTATATGATTAGTGATCACATGCAAGAGAGCAGGGAGGTTCTCTGGCCAGAATGACTACAGGTAGTCCTCAACTTATGACCACAATTGAGCCCAAAATTTATGTTGTTAAGTGAGAAATTTTTAAGTGAGTTTTGTCCCATTTTACAACTTTTCTTGCCACATTTATTAAGTGAATCGCTGTAGTTGTTAAATTAGTAACACAGTTGTTAAGTGAATCTGGCTTCCCCATTGACTTTGCTTGTCAGAAAGTTTGCAAAAGGGGATCACATGACCCTGGGACACTGCAATCGTTATAAATGTGAGTCAGTTGTTAAGCATCCGGTCGTAAGTGTAAAAAATGGCCATAAGTCACTTTTTTCCGTGTCGTTGTAACTTCAAGTGGTCACCAAGTGAATTGTTGTAAGTCGAGGACTACCTGGATTTCTTGACATTTGCCTTCACTATTCATCCATTGGCACAAGGTCTGTAAAAAAGCCTGCAAAATTCATATGACCTCCTCCCATGTGAGAAGAAGGATCTAGTAAGTTGTGAGAAAAGGGACTGTCTTCTGCCCTAATTTCCCCCAAGAATGCAAAAGACAAAAAAGACATAGAGCAATTTTTAAAAAGCAGTAAAGCAGAAAGGTGTAGCCCAGATGTTCAAAAATAGGACTTCAAGGGGAGATAGATAGAAATGGCATCACCATTAAAAACTAACAGTTCAGATTACTCAGAATTAGAAGCCAGCGACACTAAGGATAATTCCACAATAAAATATCCTGATTGCCAATCAACTGTAAGAGGTGAATTAAGTTTATATTACTGAAGTTGCAGGGCAATATTTAAAAAAAAAAATACAATGAAAAGCAGGAAGAAACACAATGCAGAAAATGCATTCCTGCATCATTTCATTCCTTTTTCCTTTACTAGGTAGGGCCTTGCAGCATTGCTACTGATAAAAAGGATGGTATGGTAGTTATGTTGTGTGATGAAATGGAGGATATGTGGATTAAAGAAAGGTGAGGATCAGCAATGACATGGAGAAGCTGCAGATAGGGAGACACAAAAGTCCAGGAAAAAGTGACAGCTGGAGAGGGAAGGGGCAGAAGAGCCAGGGATAGTGTCAGCAGCCCCCTTCAACCAGCAGCAGCCATGACAGTTAAAGCAATCTATTCAAGCCAGCTGCATTGTCCCAACAATGGAAGTATCAGTCCAGCAACAGCCAGAGGCACAAGTCAGCAAGGTTGGCTGACAATAAAAGACCATCCAGTAGCAGTGGCTCTCCAAAGGAAGGTTGACCAGTGGATTGCAAAGCAGCTGCTCTGTGGGGGGGTTCCACATGAGGCCCATGGGTGATCCCAGTCCAGCCCAGCGGCGGATGGGGTATTAGCATCATCTGGTAGGGCTGGGGTATGGGGCAGTATCAGCAAAGGGGGTGGCACAGCGGCAGGGGCAAAGCAGTGCAGGGCAGAGGTGACCCTCTACAACAGTCCCACTTTCTCATGTGGCCCTTTGAGAAAGTGAATTGCGCATCCATACTCCAAGGACATAACAGCAGTGTGAAGCAGCCATCCCACATGTGTAAGACAGAACATCTGGGGAGACCCAGCCCAGCCGCCCTAGCTGCCATACACTCTATACCAGGGGTCGGCAACCTTGGCTCTTTTACAACTCGTGGACTTCAACCCCCAGAATTCCTGAGCCAGCCATGCTCAGGAAGTCCACGAGTCATAAAAGAGCCGAGGTTGCCTACCCCTGCTCTATACCATGCCAGCTGACCTTCACCACGTTCTTTGTCCTACTATTTAGAAGGTGCGCCCATGGTAGCTCTTTGTGAAGAAGAAAAATAAATGCTAAAATAATATATTCTATATATTTAATACAATAAATTTATCTTTAAGAGCCCTTCATCCCATGCTCTGAGGGCAGAGCTAGAATGCTTGAAACCATCTCCAGCGTTCCAGCCCACCTGGGAGCACAGGAAAAGGGCATTTGAAGACACTGCAGATGAGTGGCTGCCTTCCCCAATTATTTTTCTTCTTTTTCACAAAGGGCCAAGCTGGACACACCAGCTCAGTAAATAGTGAGATGAAGAAAGTGGTGGAGGTCAATTGACATGGTAGCATGCACACATCAGTCCTGGGCTGGAGTTTCTCAGCTGTTTGACACTTCATGTGTGTGTGGCGGGGGGGGGGGGATTCCTTCATGCTCCCTCCACCCTGGGAGTCTCTGGGGTGTTTGGAACTTCCTGCAGAACAGCTGCTTTGTGTCCCACTTGGAGATTTCTGGAGCTTGGCTCTTGGGGAGTGGGGGATGGATGCTTTTCTTTGTGCCACTGAAGCTTTTCCAGTGTTTTTAAGTGCATAGATTGGGGGGGGGAGAGAGGGGCAGGTATGAGGAGTTGCAGCACCTCTGCAGATGGTCATAATTTTGATCATGTGACCGTGGGGGTGCTGCAACAGCCATAATTTCAGGAAAGGATCATAACTCCCTTCGTTCACCATTATAATTTTGAACAGTCGCTGAACAAACAGTCTTAAGTTGACCTCCTGTACAGTACCATGAAAAATATATGCTACTAATAATATATGCACCATCTCTTAGCTATCTATGACTACAGCAAGAAGCACATAGAAAATGTTACAAGCAAAAGTGTAACTCTGTATTATTAGTCTTTGGCTCACATAAAAACCTCTTGGCGTAATGCCACTGCCTGAAGATGCTCATATTTTTTTGTGTATGTGATGGGACTAAGTTCATGCAGTATTGGAGATAAAGGTACTTCTTTCTTAAATGCCTGGCAGCACACCGCATGTTCCTCGTGTTTGGTGGAATACAGGCAGCAAAATAGCCTGAACTTTGCAAAAAATACCATGAACATGGTTTCTCGATTTAAGCTGAGCTCTGGTTTATGCTTGTGGCATACTCACCAGAATATGATCATGCTAAACAGTTTCACACCCTGCTATTAGAAGGAAGTTGGATTACTAAATATGGTAAGGAGTAAAACTTTCCTCTTAGCTGGCTTTAAAAATGTTTTACTCAATCAAGCTGATTCTGCTTGCATTGTTTGACAATTCCATTATATACCAGGGAGTAATAATAAGAGGCAGTTCCATTCACTATAGCAAAATGTGGTCTGAGGTCCCCTGGTGACCCACAAAATCTAAATTATTTGCCAGCCTATGTTAAAAAAAAATAATGCAATATTAAAATCCCATCAAACAATCATGAGGGGCAATGGTGACAGTGTGAATACATCCGTTTTAATTTTTAATATGATAAATATTGATTAAATAACTCATACAAATAAAAGTTCTTTTGACTTAGGAGAGATTCAAATGAAAACCTTGATTGACCAGTGCCCAGGTAAATATCTGTGGACCTGTCTGGTCATGATTATGGAAGATGGAGTGAATGAAATGGCAGGGGTTGTGGAGGAACAAAAGAAAGCTGTAAAAGATCAGAGTGAAAGTATACATACATGAAAATCTAGAAAATGAAATGAAAAAATGAAGAAAAAAACATTTTTCACATGAAAAATGTTTTGAGTAACCATTTGTCAAGCATGGAATAAGGATTTCTGCCTTGGGCAGGGGGTTAGACTAGAAGACCTCCAAGGTCTCTTCCAGCTCTATGATTCTATGATTTTGCACGTAGAATTGTACAATCTCATATGAATCCAATGGGAAGAAAAACTAGGCATAAACTAGGAAACAATGGGAAGTTCTCATATGTACTTAAGGTTAACAGGGCATATAAAGGAAATGGAAGACTAATACAATCGTCAAAAAATCTTATAGCAAGTAATTAATACTTGCGGATATCAAGTCATAAAGGCTGGAATGCAGCGGGAATTTAGGCTTAACAAGAGAAGCTAAAGTCGACAATGTCAGTAATAAGAAAAAAAGAAAGGGTGGGGCCACTTTCTGGAAAAATAAGATGGTAACAAGTGATGAGATGGCAGAGCTTCTCAACGCTACTTTGCTTCGGTCTTCTTTCTAAAGGGAAACTGTTCAAATGAACCTAAGAAGACCAGTTAAGGAGGAAGTGGCAATCCAAGGTAAGTAAGGAGATTGTTAGGGAACATTTAAGAAACTCAAGACTTCAGTACCAGATCCATTACATCTGAGAATTTCTGAAGATTCATTTATGAGAACCTTTCACATCTCTGAGAAATCAAAGCAGTTGAATATAGTGCCAGAAAACTGAAGATGCTCAAATATTGTACTTCTCTTCCAAGAAAGAGAAAAAAGAGGACCTGGATAACTGCAGCTCATAGTGGACAAAACTCTGGAAGAGATTGAGTTTGTGAAAATAATATATTGCTTGGCAGAAACTAGCATGATTATAAATAACAAATAAACAAATAACAAATCATGCCAAAGCAACCTGATATTCTTTTTTGATAGAATTACTAATAAAATCTTGACTTTATTAAAGCATTTGACAGTCTCACATGAAATCCTAGTAGAGAAGATATGGGTTGTACTATGCAGCCATTAGATAGATAGAGAACTAATTGAACAATCATATCCATGGGGCTGAGATGAAGTAGCTTTTCAAAGTATATACACGATGGTTCTTAAAAAGGTGGTTGGGGTGCAACTCCAGAGGGGGCTTGGAGGAAATGGATTATAAAAATTCTTTTCAATCTAAACATTAAGATAGTATTGATCATGCTTGCCCTAGTACAGTCAGAATGGGGTGGTGTGGCTGTCTTGATTCTTGATCTTAACTGCTTTCAGCACTACTAATCCTTCTGAACTGGCTATGGGATTTGAGAATGGGAGACACAGTGTAACAGTAGATCTCTTTTGGCAGATTCCTGTCAATGTTAGGGGACGGGAAATTGGGCCCAAGAGTTGTGATTATCCTTGTAATAATTTGATTGAGGGGTTTCATGTCTATGCAGAACAGCAGCAGGGACCATGCATCACCTTGGTATATGCCAGTGGTGGCGAACCTGTGGCACGGGTGCCAGAGGCGGCACTCAGAGCCCTCTCTGTGGGCACGCGCGCCGTCGCCCCAGTCGTAGGCCTTCAGCTGGGTTTTATAAAACCTTTTCGCTTTAGGCCTCCGCTGCCGTGTACAAAAAAAAAAGGTTCAATCAATCAGTCAATTTCAACTTCTCGCGGGGAAAAAAAGATCTTGCAAAGTTGGAATTGATTGATTGAACTTTTTAGTCCCACCCAGTCTGCTGTTACCACCGCAGTCACGCCCACCCAATGAGCCACACCCACCCGGCACCCGACGATGCATAAGTGGGTTTTGGGTTGCAGTTTGGGCACTCGGTCTCTAAAAGGTTCGCCATCACTGGTATATGCCATACTTGATGGCCAAGTTATGCAAGTTGTCTTGAGTTGATTTTTACTGTTGTCTTCCACAGTCTCATTGAGATCTTGAGGAAGGTCCTTAGTGTCCTGTTGACTTTGTATAGTGCAACAATATTGAAGGCAATCTAATATTAACCCTTTTTTCTAGGAACTTATCTTCCTTTTTTTTTTTAAAAAAAAAGGTACCACTTGAAATTTATTTTGAGCAACAATAAAAATTTGTACAAATTATTATGAAAGCAAATATGTTATTTACTTGTTTGTTAAATTTATAGGCCACCAATCTCACAGTTTGAGGCAACTCTGGGCAGCTCTGGATTAGTCTTACAGAATTTAATGGTCCCTTTAGTTTTGTACATGGACCTACCAAAGTCCTAAGTAGCATGTATTCACCTGATTACGGTATTTGAAGAATTTGGTGAGCAAAGTTAAAGAGCTTTCTTTGTGGAGTCCTTGTCTTATAGAATTTAGCTTAGTGTAGGGTTTACATACTAGATTAGTACTATTTAATAGTACTAATTAGATTAATAGTAATTTAGAAACCAGGCAACTGAATTCCTAGAATGGAAGCTGGCTAGATGATTCTTAGCCAACTCCATTCTACTCCATCCAGATATTGTGGAGAAAATACAGTGATACCTTAGTACTCACCCACTTTGAAACTCATTGCATTTTGGTATTCAGTGCATTTTGAATGAAAATTTTGTCCTGGTACTCATCAGTCGTTTGGTAGTCGACACATGCTAGAACTTGTTGCTACAACTGTGACTCAGTACATTGTTTCTTATGGGAAAAAATTGTTTGGTACTCATCACGCCTCCTGGAACCAACTAATGATGAGTACTGAAGTACCATGGTAGCTTGAGTTGTAAAAAAACAAGTGAGATATGAATCTAATAATAAGAATTAGTCAAATTGATTTAACACTGATGTTTAATTAGATTTTTTAAAATCCTTCATGCTATGCTAGGCAATTGTATTCTCTATTTTACTATTGTATTATTATACATGTTTTACAATGAACTTTATTAAGTTGTATAAATATATTTTGAATAAATTCTAGCTAGCATAGTGTAGCAATTTACAGAATATATTTGCATTTCTCTTTTTTTGCTACTATTAGAGTTCAGTCGTTTGCAACCAAAAATTTAAGACTCGGATTTTGTAGAAGTAATTTATTTAAAATATTGAAATTCATTTATTCATTGCTTGTGTTCACATTCATTATTCTTTCCACCCTTTAAATTTTAGTCTTCTGGAGTTGGATCGAATGGAAATATTATAACTTCAGGAAAAAGAATGGGTAAGTAACCAATTTGGAATCTTCAAAAATTGCCATTTATAGTGCTTTCCTATTTAAATATCCAAAAAACGAGAAATGTATAAGACTTCTATAAATCATATGTTTATCTAATGTCAGATATCTGCAAGAATAGAGGCTCCTTCAGTTAGCTGCTGCTGTGCATCAAGTGCAGATAAGTGGCTTTCAACTCCCGTTATTCAGTGTGATTCCTGAAAAACAGTTTCCATAACTAGCCAGTGTAAGACAGAATACGGATAGTCCTTGAATTACAATTGCAATTGGGATCAGCATTGCCATTGCTAAGCAATGCAATTGTAAAGCATGGTGTTACATGACCACATCACTTAACAAGGCAATCCAGGCAGTCCCGTTATCTTCATAAAGGGACAAACTGCATGCAAATGCAGGGAGGCCCAGGAAAGAGAATGGGTTTGAGAGATATGAGAAGCTTTGAGAAGATCTATACCAGAGGTCCAACCACACTGAGCAGATCTCATCAGAGGAGCCGGACAAAGTGAATCTCTCCATAAACAAGACGGAGAGACATAGTATACAGAAGCCCTTACCAGATCACTCGTCATTTAGGTCAACAAGCACCACATTAGGTGTTGGAATTCCTGAACAACTGGTGACTAATGAGGCTATAAGACTCAAGACTATTGGCTGAGGAATCAGGGCCAGCAGCTGTAGCACTACTGGAAGAAAAGTTGCTTGCCCGTCACAAATATACAAAGACTAAAAACAAAGCAATAATGATCTATTATTACAAATCAAATCCAATGAGAATATCTGAAAAGAAGACACCAGTTCTGGAAAAAAAAACACCCAGAAATTACAGAACAGAGTCTAGCAGACCAACGTTGATTTATAATATAAAATATTCATAGAAACAAAATTGGAAGAACTGCAAAATCTACACAGGGCAAAGAAATCAAACCCTTGCCAGAAGTAGCTGAGTCTATAAAGGCAAATCAGAGGGTGTCAGCAGTGGAGAAAGCCAGCATAGCTGTTGAATTGTTCTCATTCCCAAACAAGGCATCCTTTCCTGTGCCTTCTCAGAAAGAATAAAGCTCTCTAACTGAAAAAGAGGAGTTGAAACAAAAAATATATGAGCATCTAAAATAATACAAAAATAACAGTATATGGTTGCCTGCATTGTTACCAAGAAATAGCTAGCACAAGTATTAAAAGATGCCAATATTATAATATCAAATATAAGCATCACTCACTGCAAGAAGCAAACCAACTAATATATACCATGGCATCAGTTACATCTGAATACCTTGGATGTAAAATCAACTAACAACAAAAAAAAGCCAAACTGCACCCCCAAAATGGAAGTTCGAGTTAGAAAATAAGTTAGAAAATCAATCAAGTTAGAACTGATGAAAGAAAAGCAGCAGAAGGGCAAGAAGACCAAAGCTGCCTGATCAAGAAACATTACCTAGAAACAAGATCAGGAAAGCAGCAAATAACTGCTATAGCCAAGAAGATCAGCAGATACAAAGCTTGGATTGCACACTATAGAGAAAATCTCTAATTTCAGTGACAGCAGAAACATTTCTACCAGTCCATCGATGGAGAGACTGCAGTGAACCAGCCAACACCTGACAAAAAAGAAACAGTCTGGTTCTAGGTGCAGCTATTGGACAACCCAAAGAATTACAAGGATGCTGCTTGAATAAAGAAGATGGATAAGAATAAAAAAGAAATTGAAATGAAAGAACTTGTAATAACAGCAAAAATGTTGGAGAAATGACCAAGGAAGACCAATACTGGAAGAACCTAGCACCAGGTGAAGATGAACTGCATGGTTTTTGGTTGAAACATCTGTCTAGTCTACACCCACTGATTGCCAGCAGTTTGGCAACACTGCAAGAAGGTGAAATTGAAGATTGATTAACATCTGGCAAACCTACTTGAAAACAAAAGGGGTGGTACTTGGCCCTGCTTACTAACTGCTTTAAAATTGCTAAATGGTGTGCTAGCTAATGCAGTCCAACAATATCTAGTTGAAACAATTAGTTCACTAATGAGACAAGATGGCAAGGATGTAATGGGGAGTAGAGAGAAAGCAGAGCTGCTTAATTCATTCTTTGCATCTGTCTTCACACAAAAAGATATTGGACAGCCACTGGTATGGAATGGTATAGGGCCTCCTGCTTGAGCAAGGGGTTGGACTAGAAGACCTTCAAGATCCCTTCCAACTCTATTATTCTATTATTCTGAAAACAAACTCTTTCCACCTAAGCAGAAAGGAAACTGCCCAAACAGCAGGGGTACAAAAAATAGCTCCTAATTGAGAGGATGGTTTTGGAAAACTGCAAGAGAAAGAAGACCAACTTGAATGTAGCTTAGATTGATTACAAGAAGGCATTTCACTCCCTGCCATGTGATTGGATAATCAAGTAACTAGATATAATAGGGGTCATCAGAAACATAAAAAAAATGCAAAGATCAGTGGCACAATGGAAGAAGACACAATTGCTGATCAATGGTGATAGACTGGGAGAAGTTAATATCAAGAGAGGCATCTTTCACAGAGACTCATTATTACCACTACTGCTTGACATTGAATTGATATGTCAGTCAAAAATGCTCAACAAGTCAGTCATGGTTATCAAACATCAAAAATATCTGCCAGACTATCCCACCTTTACATGGACAATCTGAAGCTGTATGGAAAAGCTGAAATAGAATCACCGCTCAGCTTTGTTCAGATATACAGCCAAGATATCGCCATGGAAGTTGGACTGGGCAAATGTGCTACCCTTACCATCTCCAGGGGAAAAAACAGTAAAAACTGAGAAATCAAGATGCCCTATGGAAATCACATCAAGATTCTGGATGAAGATTGCTACAAATCTGGGCATCCTTCAAGCTGATAACATTAAACACAATGAAGTCAGAAGTGTTTCTTTTAGGTTTGATGAACAAACAAGCTGAAATAAAATATGGGACTTTGTTTTTATACACGTTAACTGCTTTTATATGCACCAACATGGAAGGATATACAAATTCCAACAGTGGAAGAATGGATTGTAATGTTAATGAAATGGCTGATATAACAAAACTGAGTGTTTTAATTAAAGACAACAATTTGACTATTTTTCTTTCTACCTAGAGACACTTTTGAACTTTCTGTTAGATCAAAATAAAAATGAAGTTTTAATTTTGGGATTTGAAGATTAGATGTGTTATGTCTATGGAAATAATTGTATACTGATAGAGCATAATAGATATGCATCTTATGTTTTATGTATTTATTTAAATTTAAAGTAGGGGATATTTTATTATAGATAATTAAAGAAATATACAGTATAGTAATATCCAGTAATATGTTTACGTGAATTTGTTACTGTGATGCATTTATGGATTATATGTTTTATTTAGAATAAGAAATTATGTTCTACATATTCTTGTTATTTAATTATTTGTTTTGTGTATCTGTAATATAGTTGTGTATTTTTTATTAAAACAAGAGTATTTTATCTTATAATTATATCCATGCTGAAGGGTTGGAAGTAAATTTTTCATGTTGTTTTTTTTTGGGGGGGATGTTACTTTTAAAATTCTCTATTGCTCCTTTTCCCCACTCTTCCTTTTTGTTACATTTTTTGTAATTTAAGTATCTATTTTTCAAACTCAGTAAAATTTTATATGAAATAAAATTTAAAAAGGTTAGTGGTGAATGCATCATGACACTGAAGAAAATCTTAAAGTTCAAATTCTGTGGAGAAAATGCCATCAAGGCAATTAAACCTGGGCAATTCCAATCATTAGGTACACAGCTGGAATAGAGGATTGGACTCAGGCCAAACTAAATGACCTGGATAGGAAAACCAGAAATATAACGAGAGTAAATTATACCTTTCATCCATGCAATAACATTGACAGATCTGCTTATCAAAGAACACAAGTGAACATGGAATGTTGCAAATACACCAGATCATTAAAGAAGAAAAAAGGGCATCTTTTTTATCTGTTCTTATCTGACAGTGAAGAAGTTACATTGAAGTTAGTACATCATGATGGCTAATAGGAGAGAGCAAACTGGCCCACAGGAAAGACAAATGAAATATAGAAAAGAGTCACGTGGCAAGCAAAGTACTACATGGCTAGTATATTTAAACAAAACTAGCAGGCAAAGCAGATGAACAATACCTGGCAATGGCTAAGATCAGGAAAGTTGAAGAGACAGATGGGTTAATTCTGACTACACAAGACCAAGCCTTAAGAACAAATGCATACAAAACCAGAATTGAGAAAAGAGCAACAGACAGTAAAAACTGCTTCTGCAAAGAAGCTGAAGAAACAGTGGATCACCTACTTAGCAGTTGCAAAAGGATTGCACAGATTGACTACAAACAACAACATGACAAATTAATATCAATGGTGCATTGGAATATCTGCAAGAAATGCTATTTGCCTGCAAGCAAGAACTGGTAGAACTACAAAATATACAAAATAATAGAAAAAGAAAAAGCTAAAGTGCTCAGTTGCATTACAATTCAAACAGACAAGCATCTGCTACATAATACCCCGATTTAACAGTTGTCTATAGGAAAGACCAGAAATATGTGCTGCTAGTAAGACAAAAAGTGGGATGGGTATGTTTTCTTCATCAGACAAAACTTCTGCATCTTGACAATATGAGGAAGTTTTACGTAGCTCCCAACTGATAATTGAGGAGTCAAGCTGTGGTCAAAGCATATTCAGTGATGCTTAAAAACTAAATAGTCACATATTGGGATGGGTGGGAGAGAGAGCAGGTTGGCTTACAGGTAGCTACATATGTTGTGACTTTCCATAACATTTCTGTATTTACCAGTCACTTATATGCCAAAAAAGCACTTTGCCAATCTCCTTTATAGTACTAAAAGTCTGGTTCCTGTAACTTCTAATTGTGTGGAATGATGGATCTTAGGGCAACAATTTTTGAACCAAGATACTCCAAATGGGCTAACTTATGGAATGCACCAAAATCCAGAATCCATGACTGCTGTGAAATTTGGCAAATTTTATGAAACATTTTTCAATCAGATTAGAGCTGGAAGGGAGGTCTTCTAGTCCAACCCACTGAACAGGAGACCCTATATCATTTGAGACAAGTGACTGTCTAGATTCTTCTTAAAAACCTCCAGTAATGAAGCACCTACAACTTCTGAAGACAAGCTGATCCACTGGTTAATTGTTCTCACTGTTAGGAAGTTACTCCTTAATTCCAAGTTGTTTCCTTGATTAGTTTCCATCCATTGTTTCTTGTCTTGCCTGCTAGTGCTTTGGAAAATAAATCAACTCCCTCTTTGTGGTAGACCCTCAAACACTGGACTACTACTATTATAGATAGCTTTAAAGATAGCTTTTGAAGCTAGACTGCTTTGGAGAAGCAGTCAGATACTCGTAAAGCAGTTTTTTTAAAAATGGGACAAACAAGAAATGAAGATAAAGCAAATTACATTATAGTATTTGAATGAACTAAAGAATAAGATGGTTAGAAGTAAAAAGAAGAAATATAAAATTGGCTTATTTGATGAAGGTTAAAATACCCAGAATTATATTCTTTAAATAAGGCAGAATCTTCCACCTGACTCTGATTTTAAATGAACTGATATTCCTAGCAGTTCTCATACTTTTGCCACATACAAACATCTAGCTTTGGATCATTTTTCTCAATAAATAAATGAACAAATCTGCTTCTGACTCATTTGTTTAATTACAACTTTATCTACTTTTAGGACTTGTATGGAACATATCACACATTTTAGGTCATATTTATGCAGAAATACTGAAAATTAAAAAGCATAAACTTTTAAGTATATTTAGATAAAGTAAATATCATTTTAATTGTTGGTTTTAATTACATGGAATTGCAAGTATGTTATCTCCACTTTCAAATGAAGAGTAGCATCTCATACTGTAGGGCAGGGGTGTCAAACTGCTGGCCCACAGGCTGGATGCGTCATGCCGAAACCGCGCCCATCCCATTGCCGGCAATGGAAAAAAAGTCACGAGATGTCAGGTGACGTTGCGAGTTTGACATCCCTGCTATAGAGTATCACTGTGGTTTATTGTCCATTTCAAATATTTCATGTCAACTTTTACTCTTTCATCTTTCCATTGAATAAAACAGGAAAGCTCCACATGGGCCCTTTAAACAAACTTTGTTCAGTCAGTGTCTCCTAAAATAAGACATTCAGTAAACTTTGATTCACATAGTAGGTTCAAACAACCCCTGTCCTATTTTTGTTCATAGAATGCTTAAAACATAAATTTCATTTTTAGAATATTATACTCACTGCCAGGTGGAAATTACATATTTAACAATACAAATCCTAAGCAAGAAGCAGTTTATCTATCTCCTTTAGCACCATTCTGTATCTTTATCCTGCCGTTATAAATGGAAACATTCCATCAAATTCTCTTTTTTATTACTTAATTCAGAAGAAACTGAATGAAGTTGGAGAAGTAACCCTTTGATGCTTTATAGCCTTTGTAAATTCAAGTATAATTGTGATTTCTCAAAAACCAAAAGCAGTGCACAAAATAGATAATGCTGCCAGATAATTCCACTCTTTCACTTTCATAAAAAATTAAACATTGATCAATAGATTTGCTAGCCAGTCTGAATGTTGATGGTTTTGAATTAACAAATCAGTACTATACTATTACCCATATTGATGTAGAAGAATTATCAGTACAATAATTTAGAAAGTTTTTTAAATGAACAAGTTTTAATTAACAGGTATGGTTCCAACAGATATGCAGCATAACTTTACAATTGTTTAATATACTGCATTTCAAAAATTTACTGCTGCCTGAGAAAAAATGATAAAATGCCATATTTTGTTTTAAAAAATAAGTGTTTTTACTAGCCTTTCTTGGCAGCTGCTTTTCCCTTGTATCATTTATTTCATAGCAAATGTACAAAATAATTATGAATATTTTACTTTTTTGAAAGCAGGTGATACAACTCATCTTCCACCTGTGAATTGTTCTATTCAACCTAAAAAGAAAATTGCAAAGCATTGCTTCCTATGTGGAAAGAAAACTGGATTAGCAACTAGCTATGAATGTAGGTAGGTTGAATTTGCATCCTACAACCATTTACCATTATCCAAGCACAACAAAGAAATAGGAAGGGATTAGTTGGGATAAATGCTAAATAAGTATTGAGATAAATAATGCTGCCAGGTCCAATCTTTCACTTTTCAGCCAGCAGATTCTAAAATAAAAGAAACACAACCTATAAAATGTGCATGCCTAATTAAAAATTAACAGAAGTAGGTTTCTTCTCCATCATTCTCTTTCATTGTCTGTATATAAATATGAAGGTGACCTTAAATTTTGCAGTACTTGGACTATAATTGAAGGGTTATTGTATTCAGTGCTAATTCCATGAGCTAATTTTATATCAAGAAATGTCCTATTTTTCTTACAAATTGGATTTTATTCCCTCTAAAATAATAACTGTTTCCAAATGGAGAACTATTATCATAAACAAATGAGATGAGATGAAATCAGCAGAGTGGTGTGAATAGAAAGAGAGCATACTGTATATTTTGAATTAATCAAATGGTGGAAAAAGAACAGCAACAAATTGAGAGATTAAAATAAATAGAAGATTAAGAGTTTTGGGGTGTAAACATTAATGGCAACAATTTTAGCAGATTGCTTTTCTTGGGGTTTATGATGCACAGTCTGCTTATTTTAGCATTCATCCACTCAGTTCTTCCCCTGGAGTTCAGCCTGGTTCAGAGAGAGAATTTTTTTTTTTCCAACTGGCTTGTCATTGCTACTGATAAGAGCTCAGATGAAGGATCTGGCCCTAAGTCACTCAACAAGCTTCCATGCTTACGGGAGGAGAAGCACCTGGCGTTTCCTGCTCCTAATTCTTAACTGCAACACCACATTACCTCTCTATTATTTTATATGGTCTTCAGTTAATTCTTGAATTAACCTGATTCAGAATTCAGTAATTTTGGGACATATATTTGGAATTGACTGCCTGTTTGTATAATGGCAAATGCGATTTGTTTTTTAATTCCACAATTGCTTTTGTCATGGGATTTATATTCTCTATTGTTTATTAGTTTTATATTTTGCCTTTCACTCAGGACAGAGGCATACATAGGGCTGCCTCTTGCCATTTTTTATAATAACCACCCCACCAATTTTAGCATTATATCTCTATTTTGTTTTTTCTATCATTGTCAGCTTTTGTGTTGTGATTTTTTTCCAGGTTTTGGGTACTTTCGTACACGCTTTGTGGCAGTTTTCCAAGTTTGTCATACACTATTGAATATTACCACAAAATGGCTGATCACTTCCCTCATTTCCGTGGTTGTTTAAGGAACCCATTGAGTCTTGATCTGTGCCTTGCAATAAAATAGCAGACATTTCCTTCTAGATTTTCAATCTTAAACCAACCACCCCAGGGGTCTACCATTGAAGCTTCTCATAAGACACCTAATAGAAAGTTTTATGACTTTATCTGATAGAGATCCCTTAGTTTTTATTCTTTTTATTTCCTCTTTTTTTAAAAAAAAGAAAAGAATTTATCAGCTCATAATGTCTGTCATGTGGTTTTATTTCCATTTTCCTATACAATGACTCATTAAGGTCGTTATATATTTAATTTATCTTCCTGTCCCATTTCTTCTTGAAATATTGTTCGTTGTTTTTTTAAACATTGGTGACCAACTCTTGAGATCATACGATAAATACTTATTGGATTTCAATTACTGATCTTGAAACCAGCTCTTTCAAGAGATTAAAAATAGGAAACCACAAGGGTTTCATATAAAGATAATCCATCTAAAACCATTCATTTGGTGACCGTTCAAAGTTACAACAGCACTGGAAAAAAGTGACTTATGACTGTTTTTCACACTTAAGACCATTGCAGCATTCCGTGGTCATGTAATCAAAGTTTGGATGTTTGGCAACTGGCTCATATTTATGACAGTTGCAGTGTCCTGGGGTCATGTTGTGACTTTCTGACAAGCAAAGTCAATGGGGAAGCCAGACTCACTTAACAACTGCAGTGGTTCACTTAGCAACTGTGGCAAGAAAGGCGTGAAATGGGACAAAACTCACTTAACAACTGTCTTAGCAACAGAAATTTTGGCTTCAATTGTGGTCATAAGTCGAGGACTGCCTATAGTCCTTCAGGCTGCCCATGTAGCCCTAACAACTACCTCAAGGGCATATCCAAATTCTTGCTGGCTGAAGGAATAGTACTGCTCTACTAATCTTGCTCTTTTCCCTGTGGTTTAGTATAGATTAGGAATAGCAGAGTCACATTTGTGAGGCATTGTTAGTAAAGTTTCATAAAGTTAGTTTGGGCTGTTCCTTGCTTTTCAAAATGAGAAAATGACTGAAGTTGCCAAAGACAATAGGGGTCATCCTTATAAAACACACATCCTGAAGTACCAGTTTGCTTCAGTTGTCTCCTGCCGTATGTAATAAGGGAAAGCCTGAGGAAATTGAAAGTACAGGACAAGACAGGAAGCAGTTGTTGTCCACCTCCTTCTGCATGGATCTTAGTTCTTCATGCAGAAGAAGTTGGAAAAATATTTCTCCTAGGTTTATGCCCTAATGACATAGAACAGGGGTAGGCAACCTTGGCTCTTTTATGAGTCGTGGACTTCAACTCCCAGAATTCCTGAGCCAGCCAATGCTGGCTCAGGAATTCTGGGAGTTGAAGTCCACGACTTATAAAAGAGCCAAGGTTGCCTACCCCTGACATAGAATAACAGAGTTGGAAGGGACCTTGGAGGATTTCTATTCCAACCCCCTGCAGGAGACCCTATTCCATATCAATGGCTGTCCAGTCTCTTCTTAAAAGTCTCCAGTAATGGGGTACCGACAACTTCTGAAGGCAAGGCATTCCACTGGTTAATTGTTCTCACCATATAGGAAATTTCTCCTTATTTCTAGGCTGCTTCTCTCCTTGATTAATTTCCATCCATTGGTTCTTGTCTTGCCTTCGTGTGTGTTGGAAAATAGGTTGACCCTCCTCATCCTTGTGGTAGCCCCTCAAATATTGGAACACTGCTATCATGTTTCCCCTAGTCCTTCTCTTTTCATTAGACTAAGCATATTCAATTGCTGCAACAGTTTTTATATGTTTTAATCTCCAGCCCCCTAATCACCTTTGTTGCTCTTTGTAAAGTGGTACTAATACTTCATGAGATCTTGATTCTATCCCTCTATTAATGCAGCCTAGGATTGCATTGGCTTTTTTGGCTGCTGCCACACACTGTTGGCTTATATTTAAGTGATTTTCCACTAGGACTCCAAGATTCCTCTCACAGTTACTGGTATTGAGCCATGTTTCACCTAGTCTCTACCCATACAATTGTTTTTCTTGCCTAAGTGTAAAATCTTACTTTTACCCACATTGAATTTCATTTTGTTAGGTAGGGCTCAGTTTTCAAGTCTGTCAAGATCCATCTGGATCTTGAGCCTATTGTCTGGGATGTTGGTTATTTCTACCAGTTTAGTGTTAATCTTCAAATTTGATGGGTTTCCCTTCTATTCACTCATCGAAATCATTTATGAAGATATTGACGAATATTGGGCCTAAAGTGCAACCTTGGGGTACCAAACTACTTACTTCCCTCCATGTGGATGTAATTCACATGGAGGACTACATGTTGAGTGCTGTTGGCCAGCCAGTTATGAATCCATCTGGTGGTGCTATCTGTCCCATTTTTACTAGCTTACCAAGAAATAGGTTGTGGTCTACTTTATCAAATACTTTACTGAAATCTAAGTATATTATGTCCACAGCATTTCACTGATCCACTAATTTAGTCACTTTGTCAAACAACAAAATAAGATTTCTTTGGCAAGATTTGTTTTTGATGAAGCCGTGTTTGTTTCTGGTTATAACTTTGTTTGCTTCTAGGTATTTGCTTGATTATCTTTTTCAAGATCTTTCCAGGTATTGATGTCAGGCTGATTGGTCTGTAATTTCCTGGATCTGTTTTTTGTTTTTGTTTTGTTTTGTTTTGAAGATGGGAATCACACTAGCTCTTTTCCAGTCTGCAGGTAGTTCCCCAGTGCTTTTGGAGAGGGCAACCTGGTTCCTATATTAGATTTATGTTTGTGATAGGATTACTGAATTTTGCCTTCAGGATCCCTAGATAAAGTGGAACATCAGTTTTTCCCCATTTTGTGAGATGGGCAGTTGAGAAATACAAATAAATAAATATATAAATATTCATTCTTTAATGTTGGTTCCTCCTTTCTTCTAGGCAATTAAAAACTCAATTGTAATTTATTATAGAATCAATCTAGATTTTACCCTCTCAGTGAAAAACTCAATAGATTCTAATTTTAAAAACCAATCTTAGCTAGTGGAGACTTTCTGGAATAGCAGTTTATTTTCTTCAAAGAAAAGAAAAAGATGGTATTTCTCTGTTTGACAAAACAAAGATTCCAGGTAATATGGCTATAGATCTGCCAATCATTTTCTAAAACTATTTTCACCTGGAAATATCATAATGTATTTAGGATGTTCAGAATCTTGAGCTCATAATACTCACAAACAAAAATTCAGCTAGAAATAATTTTTTATCTTCAGTGGGGAAAAGTTAAAAATTGTAAATAAATATTCATGATCTTTATTGATAAAATATCTCCATCAAAATGTTGTGCTTTTGCAACATAACAAAGTCCTCTTAAATGATGAGATTACATATTAAAGACTGATGAAGAATGTCTACATTTTATAAATCTCATTTTGAGGGTAAAATACAGTATTTAAAAATCTCTGTTTACAGTTTCTCTTATCTGCCAGGTTTGTTGTTTCAAACACTGGAAAATTAAAGTAATACTTTCTATTGGTTTAGTATATTTAAAAAGTGGGAAATAGCTTAGGCAAGAAAGTCATAGAACAACGGTTTGAAAAAACTGACAATGGAAAATAATTTCTTGAAATTATTAAACAATTTTTTTCCTAGTAAATTATATGTTCTGGACAGAAAGGTTGAATATAAGTTTTTGAAATGTTAAAATGTTCTTATAATTGTATACTTACATACCCACTTACATCCATGCCCATACAGCTTGAGTTGCTCTTTTTTAAAAATTATTGTCTTGTTTTTGAAGATTCTTTTTTAAAACTTTTTTTTAGTTTTTGTCTGTGTGATTCAAAACATGATTTCTAACCCTTCATTTTTTTCTTCAGATGTGGAAACAACTTCTGCGCAACTCATCGCTATGCAGAGACTCACACCTGTACTTATGACTACAAGAATGCAGGAAGGAGATTCTTGCAGGACTCCAATCCTGTTGTCAGTGCACCAAAGCTTCCCAAAATCTAAGCATAATTTTATGGTCCGTGACTGAACTGTTTTTCTTTACTGTATTTCAAATCTAAAGATTGGCAAGTAACAAGATCATCCAAAGCTCTATAATTCTGAAGAATGATGTAACACTCTTGAAACTGACACCTTTTATTCTTTAGAGAATCAAAATTTAAACATTAGTTTTTAAAAATGTACATTCTGATTTAACAATTATTATATATTTTGTGTTAAGTATTTTATAATTGAAAATGTCCTTTCACTAGTCAAGTCTTAAAAAGATGCACTTTATTATACATACATACATATATGTATGTATCTATGTCTCTGTGTGTATATATATGTACATGTATATATGTATATATATTATATATGCACACAAAGAAACACACTATAATGAGACTTGACAGGGTTCTGTATTGAAAATGTCTTATAATCCCTTGGTTTTCAAATATGTTGTTTTAGTTTTTAGTATGGAGGTTTCATTGTACTAGGCCAACTTTCTCATAGCAAAGGGCCTTGTAGTCCATCAAACCAGCTGAAGACCATGTTTCTGTTCTGGAAGTAACATATCATGTTAGATCATTATTATCTGGCAGATTTAAAAGCAAAAACAAAGGAAGAATTTTCTTGTTATTAAATAGAAGCCACTTTAATTTTTGTGATTTTGTGTTTTTTTAAAGATCTTACAACACTTTCAGATATTATAAAAAAAGGAATAAATATGCTTTTTATGTAATAAGTAGAGTAAGTGACTTGCTGCTTTACAGCATGCTTAGAGTTGGAGGAATATTAAAAAATGCTTAAAGCTTGATATCAAAGGTGCTTTTTCAAAAGGCAACTGGGCTGTTTTTTTCTGAGGAAGAAGAAAAAAGTTTCACTTCATATCCAATAAGCTTCATCAATTGTGATGGTGGGGTGATGGAAGGATAGGTTCTGACAGGATGGTCGGTGGGGATGGAAGAATTATATTTCTTCGAAGTCATCTGGTCATTAGCAGTCTCTCTGAGAGCTGTTAAGGCCACTTGGGGGTTTATCTGTACCCTCAAGGTCACCTGAATCGTTGGAATTGGTTGTGGAATCTTCTTGGAACTTCTGAAATGGCTGCGTTGTAGACTGGAGATAGGTGGTGTCTTATTCCTCCCCCTCTATTGAGGGAGGGCTATTCAATTCTAACGCAGATGGATTCTTTTATCCCTCTTTCAAACCAGTGGTCCTCTCTATCCAAAATGTGGATGTTGCAGTCTTCAAAAGAGTGACCTTTGTCTTTCAAATGCTGATGGATTGCTGAATCTTCTTCCGCCATGCACTTGTGATGTGGTTGTTTTGTTTCACCAATGTACAGATCTGCACATGTCTCACTGCATTGCTCAGTTTATATCGGGGGGTTTTATCCTTAGGGTGGACAGGCTTCTGCATTAATGTATTCCTGGGTATAAAGTGTACGTGTATGAGGTGTTGGTTGAAAATCCTGAGTTTTTCAGATATTCCTGCAACGTATGAAATGACAACATTGCTACGTTTGTTGTTCTTTCTTTTTTAATCTGTAATGGAAGAGCTGGGTCTTTATTTGGATTTGATGAAGGCCCAGTTAGGATAACCACAAGTTCTGACAAGTTTTAATATTTTTTCTTTTCCCTCTTTACTGGTAGGCAAAATTTCAGCCAGGTGGTTTAGGGTTCCGATCACTCCCATTTTGTGCTCAAGGGGGTGGTGAGAATCAAAAAGTAAATACTGATCTGTATTTGTGAGGGATTTCTGTAAACTTCAATGTTAAGGCTTCTGTCTTCCTTAATGTGCACTGCACATTAATAGAGGGGGAGGAATAAGACGTCACCTACATCCAGTCTACAACCGCAGCCCTTTCAGAAGATTCCACAACCAATTGCACCCTGATTCAGGTGACCCTGAGACACAGACAAACCTCCAAGTGGCCTCAACAGCTCTGAGAGAATACTAATGACCAGATGATTGCAAAGAAATACAATCCTTCCATCCCCAATCCTGTCAGTACCTATCCTTCCATCCCTCTACCTTCACAACTGATAAAGCTTCTTGGATGGGAAGCATGTTTTCTTCTTCCTCAAGGAAAAATAGTCCAGTTGCCTTTTGAAAAAGCATGTTTGAAACAACTATGACCTGGATGACTGAGAATCTCCATGGACATTAAGGCTTGACAGTAGACCAATGACCTAGAGCAGAGGTAGGCAACCTTGGCTCTTTTATGACTTGTGGACTTCAACTCCCAGAATTCCTGAGCCAGCATGGCTCAGCTTGGAAACTTCTCCCTTTCCCCTCAGCATGGCTGGCTCAGGAATTCTGGGAGTTGAAGTCCACGAGTCATAAAAGAGCCAAGGTTGCCTACCCCTGACCTAGAGCATAATAATGCTGGTGCAGGGTGGATAGCGCTGGACTAGTTCTGCTGAAGTGTTACAATCGGCAGACAGAGCCATCTATTGTTTTTATATCTGCACGGAAAGGACAAAGGCAGCCTTAGAAATGTTTTTCTGGAATGTTTGTAAGGAAAGTTCTACCTTGATTGTCCATTTCTAATCAGGGATATATGGAAACCTACACGGTTGAAAGGCAGTGAGTAATCCCTATTACACTTTCTTTTGCCCAGACTGAGCTAATTTTACGAAAAGAGGGTTGTTTTTTTCCTCTTGCTGAGACTTGTAGAAGCAGTTCGTCCCTCTGGTCTGAGGTAATTCTTTGTGCATGACAGTGAAATGGCAACACTGATTTTCTCATTTAGAATAAAAGTTCACCTGGAACAATGTCAATAAGAGGGTCAAAATCAAAAAGCTTCTCAAGATGAGTGTCCCAACGGAGCATATAATAGAAAATGCATAGGCAGCTCAAAGTTATAGTGATAGGCAATGAAGGCTAAGGGCTGTTTAAGATGCATTCAAAAGAAAAATAACAAATTAGTTTCTCACCAAATGTTAACTAGAGAGAATGCAAAGATAGAACAATGTTTTGGCTCCATTTCCTTCCTCAGTATGTACTGATATGTGTTGAAAACAGGATAGTGGATTAAATTGGACAACTTCCACAATGCACATGTCTTTTTTTCAAGATTCTCACCTTTCTATTTTTAGATCTCAACACCTCTATTTAACATACTCATCACACCTTTCTCTTGAAATGATGTTCAATGTCTCTGTATAATCAAACTGTCTTGAAATACATATTTCCTGCACTGGCTGTTTTTGTATTTAGTCCACTTCCATTCATCTCCTGTTTATTCTCAAGCCTATCTCTAATTTTACTATACATCTTAAGTAACCTGTTCCTATTGCACTCAGCTCTAATTTCTGTGAACAAATGCAGCTCCTTTCTAGAGATGAGCAAAACTTTTATGTAACAGCCAGCACCAAACTGAAACATACTGTACTTTTGGGCTATACTGTATGTATCCACAAATAAAATGAGGGAAATTTGAGGCAGAAAGGGTGTCCTTACCAGTTAGACCAGACAGGTAACCTAATTCTATTTTGTAGGAAAGCTACATTAACAGAGTCTTGCAAGTCTGAATGTACAATTCTCCTTAGAAGGGTCCCTGCTAAGCCTACTTCCTCACCCATTTTCCATTTACATGCGAAGCTGTCTCCTATCTGATTGTTCCTTAAGCAGAATCTCTTTGCCCTGTCTCCCAAGGCATTTCCTGGATACCATCACAGTTGGATAGAGCTAATAACATGGCTGTAGGGAGGCAAGGAAGAGACTCTGGAAATATTGCACAGGAGGTGGGGGAGCAGTGACAAGTTGGCACTGAAATCTGATGGTCTCAGGGAGATGTTGGCAAAAAATATTGGGTGCATGATCAATTTTCTGAAAGCTGTTAAGACAAATGAGCCACAATCTGGTCTCTTCTATGGATCCTGCAAGATATTAGAGAGGGGGATGCAGAAAGGACAGGAATTACAGGAGTGTCCCCCCTCCCTGAACCTTGGTTTATAAAGAACTCAGGAATTCTTTCACAGTTTCTAAATAGGATGCTACAAAACCACAGATAGTATCATGGCCTATTCAGATTCTGAAGTATCAGAGATGGAAGAGCCTCTTCAAGGTTCCCTGGATGAATGCTAGCCTCAAGGGGAGACTAGCAATCAGGCACCTAAGAAGACATGGCTGAATAACAGTGGAGGCAGCTGGAGGCAGCAGAAGATGACGGCAGGTCACGGGCTCTCCCAAGGAGCTGAATGCAGAGCATAACAGAAGAGATCTGAGTGGTTCCTTGCCTGGCACCCTTGATTGCTTGCCAATTTTCCATTAGGAACAACTATACCACTTGTCAAAATTAATGGCCCAGAAAAGCTACATGACTGGACTCTTGGAAGTCAGTCCCAAGTCAGTTAGAATGTGGCCAAATAATGTTCTCATCTGCTGTTTTGGACATTGGTTACTGGTACCTATGCAGGCAAGCTGACATCTTTGGTTTCAGATTTCTCATGGCTTACTTTTTAGTACCAGTGTTTGTTAATGGATTTTTGATGAATTAATGAAAATAATTATTTTTGGGGAAAACTGCCATTAACTGCCACAAATTGCTAACTTGGAAAGTACATACCCATTTAAAGCTTAGCAGATGGTACGATTACTTGGACTAATTTAGTATTTCCAACTTTGCTAATGGTAAGACATTTGGACCTTGTTAGGTGATAGGTTTAAATTTGATATGAAATCTCATGAACAACTAGCATAATTGGGGGTAAAACATGGAGGTAAAAGTATATAATTTTAAGAACTTAATTATTATTACTTTAAATCTTTCTAGCAACTGCAAACGTAATTTTCTTTACTATCAATGCAACAATGGAGATATATATCCAGTTAAAACATGCTTGACCACTCAACATGAATCTGATGCTTTAGCAATTTCTAAAATACCCAATACGCTATCAATACTAAAGAATTCATTTCAAAATCCAAACGTACTTTTTTGTCGAAAGTTAAAGGAATAATTTAAAATATCTACAGTGGGATGTCAAACTGCCGGCCTGTGGGCTGGATGTGTCATGCTGAAACTGTGCCCACCCCATTGCCGGCAATGGAAAAAGTCACGATACGTCACGACACATCACTTGACATTGCGAGTTTAATACCCCTGATCTACAACAACAAACACAGAATCAAGAACTGGAAATTCTGGTCTTGTTAAAGGACTCAGTGGATTCATGTTTCGAAAAATGCCCTATGAATTAAAGCTGAAATTAATCTATGGGACAGTAGAGCATTTTGTAAAGGATGGATTACTATTTGTTAAGGTTGCAAGTAATTCAAGATCATCTTAACTTACATTTTGATCATGTTCTTTATAACTGCCTCACCTTTGGAGTAATGTTATACATTTAACAGATTGATTGATTGATTTGATTTCTGTAACCCCCCCATCTCAACAAATTACTTTGGACAGTACACATAATAAAATGTACTAGTCTAGCTAGTACTAAAGGTTATATGGGAAAATGGAGGTTTCTCCCTTAGGATGAAGATATTCACTGTTAATATGGCACTATCCAAACAACTATCCATTCTTGACAGTGCCCTTTGGGACCGATTTGCTGGCTGGAAATATTTCTGCCATTAACATGGCCCATTATTGAG